ATTATCCAGAAAATCCTACGTAACGTATCACAGCATTTCTTTTCTTTATCCTTCGTTTTGAGCCTTGCTCCTTCTTACAGTGCCTCTCCAGGGGAGTTAGTACACTTACCGACGGACCGACTCCCAGCTGTTACAAAAAATGCTTGTTTTAAATCTAATCCTTTGGTGATTGCAACTTCGGTGAAGAGTATGCAAGTGATGCCTTTCTTTATTAACTGATCCATGACCAATACAATATATTAAGATGCGACTAGCCCGCCCGAGGGAAATCTCTAAGACGTATGTTCCCGGCGGCGGCGGCTGTCACAATATACAGTCCGGGACTGTCAGCTCTCCCACGTATACATAATTAGAATACGACCTTCTGATCATGTCATATAAGAGCTACATACTTGCGTCACAAGTATCTTAAATACAAATCTCACTGGCCCACTGAGATCTTAGTCCTCCATTATTTTCATAGCATGTGTGACTGTGTGTGGTCGACCAAAACTTGTTCAACTTTATTTTCCGAGAAAATCGTACAAACGTTAATCGGATTGTGAGACTTGTACATAACACAAAACGTTCCGATACGTCCGGTTTAGCGCACGTAACTTAACCGGACCGTTCCGGGTGACGGGCAAGATGTGGCCCGCGGGGAAATCACTCCGGCTGCCGGAACAGCTCCCTGAATAAATTACCAGCGCACTTAACGCCAACACCTTGCATCTTCAGCTTAACTTAGTATAAGTGGAACGTTATCCTCAGGAAAACCTACACTACCGACAAAGGCGCATTTAAAAAGTTTTATTCACTTTGTAAGTTCAACTTCAGTAAGTTATTTACAGTGACACGCTGACACAATGCTTATCTGAGCATGTCAATGAACACTTACAACAGCGCAAACTCGTTAGTAATCTGACATGAATAATGAATTTATTAATCATTTCATACGTATCCGTGGCAGGCAGGACGGCTCGCGGCCCTGTATGGAAATACGGAGGCTGTACCTATCTGATCATTACCCTCGTCATGTCAAAACATACATATAGACATTAGACATTGTACAGCGGTCGTACCGTACTTAAAACTAAGTATATTTAACGAGAACAGATTTCATTAAAATCATAGCCACGCTTTGCTCGGATTGCGCCATCTTCCTGAGCAAAAACCCAATGTTTGCATTCCACAAGGCGAGGAGCCAAGAGCCACAGATGTCGTGTCCGACCGAAATGAATAAATTAACTGCACCAGCTTCGTGATTCCACCCACACAGACAGAACATGCTGTAGTATAGTCTGTTATAAGCATTTATTGGGATAGTGTCACAATACAACGACTGAATCAATACCCAAACAAAATTGTCTGATTTTTATAAAATAAAATGGAAAGATATTATCCACAAACAGTTTACGATCCAAAGTTAACCATAAAGTAACGCGGAGTTTAAATGAAATAGCGCAGTAAAGTGGACACGTAACGTCCGTAGTTCACGAGTGTGCTGTTTATGACAAACAACTAAAACATATAGCTGAAATTGCGTTCCTAATATGCGCTAGAGAGGTTACACGTGCAAAACGTCGGTTTACAACTAACGCAGGATAGGAGATGAGTATGGAGCTGCGTCGAAAATAGTTTCGAGATGAGATATTGGAATTTGCAGAGCATCAGCTAATATAGGTGAAATATTACGCCGTCCAAAGCAGCAGTAAACAGCGAAAAACACGTTTTTAACATAGATACCAAACCTTCACAATTTAATTTTCCTAATAGAACCCTTTCTACGTAATCTTAAAATTGGAGCCTCTCCGTAAACGAGGGTTCGATGCCCATAAATATCGGCTTCATAAAACCATAACCTCTATCGTTAGCTTGTTAACAGCAAAACGAAACAAGATTTCCAGCTTAATGAAAACCACAGACGTCTTCATTCGTGGCAAACAACGTTCGGAAACCTCGCCTCGCGCCCGAGGGAAATCAGTCCGGCGTGCGTTCCGAAACCTTTGTAGCGACCAGTAATTACACTGACCACTAGAACGCTATACGGCATTTTTCTTGTGTCTTTAGCTTTTAATTAGTGAAGTCAAAGGAAAGACGTGCTTCATTCCAACATGGAGTTCGTGTTAAAATGCTGGCTGGAAAATTATTTAAAATGTTTAGACTGAAATTATGCAGACAAAGTTAGCAGCACTAGTAGTAGCCTCCGACACAGGCAGGCAAAAAATGTATATAATGAGTGATTTAATTTAATATTTCGTGCTGGTAATGAGATTTTCAAAAACGAAAGCTTTGTAACACTTGTTGGCAATAAAACTCACGACAACAACAACAAAGCGGTAGTCAACTAAAAATGATTACTTTATGCTTTGTCCAGTAATCACATTAGTGAGAAAGCCACAGAAATCTAATGACATTATGTTTACAAACGAAACACAAGTTGTTTGCCAAATAAATTATGTTCCGTACTACAGAGTGATGTTTTATTAATTATACAAAAAACAATTTCAAACAAAGTCATTCCAATTTAGAACAAAAAACAAAATAATCATTCATACCGAAGTTAATTGGTTTAGGGCGGTCGAGCAAAAACTCCCATAGAAAATGTGAGAAAAATGTGCGGTACGTAATGTAATGTTTCATTCGTTAAGCCGTGATTGCCAGCCTCCGCTAATGGAATTAATAATTTGCCAGATCATATGCAAAAATGCCGCGTTTGCACGATGGAAAACGCTTTTAGCTCTGAATTATGCTTGTGAAAATAAACTTCGCGTGGATATTAAATTACTAAAATTAATAGCCTGCCATGAAAGAATGAAAAACTTGCTAATGTCAACAGTTTCAATAAATTGCTTTCATCCCAAACTTAAACATGTGTTTGTATGTACATACATCACGAAAATAAAAGTACTTTCGTTTACATCAACAAACAAAAATTTCAACCAACTTTCGTAGCAGCCGTAGCATTTTCGTAGCCGACTACGAGTGACTACGAGTGACGAGTGATTGCGAAATTTAGCGCTACGCCATGGCTAGCAATAGTAGCAATAGATCTTTACGTGTCTATGTTTTGAAATTAGGTCGCATTCTTCGTACTTTAAATGTGTCCTATATACGAAACGGTCTTGATATTGACTCACGCGTTGATCTAGTCATATAGTTATCCACTTAGTACTTATAGGATTCATTAGATCGAAAACACAATACATAACATTTTCATATAAGTGAGTATTTTGTTTCTTTTTTTTAAGGGGGAAAAATCATCGAATGAATGCTCCCGCCTGAGTGAGGCGGGAGGGAGTGTCAGACTCTTACTGACTAAAAACCACTCCGTTCCTTCTCCTGCGCTTCGAGCCAGAGTCCCGGTAACCCGTTAAGTTCTCCGCGACATATAAGTGAGTATTATAAATTTACATCGTCATTTTTACCCACACAACATAATAACTGGCCAAAAACTTATAATTTAAGTACCGACAGCGGTCACTATTAGTATTTTAAATCGGTTTTGAATTGGGTAATTTAAAATACCTTCACTGAGGTCAGGTCAACTTTGCATTACAATTATTGGATCCATCATGATGGGATATCGCTAACTAACTTAGCCTAGTTCGGTACTGTAACGATCTATGTAATGGCGGTCAACGTCGAAAATTTTGCCGCCAAAATAAAAATAAAATGTCAGCTCGTTACTCCAACGCGGGGTAATCCAATCTGGTTGATTCGCATTGACCCTTTCGACGACGACAGGACTACGCCATTCCAAGTACGTATTTATTTTTGTCATTTATGTTTGTACGTGAGTCGACAACTACATCTACACGTTGATGTAACGATACAACTATTTTGAAAAATTATTGGAAACGTCAACTTTGTGAAAGGGAGGCTTATGTCTGCAGTACTTGTATTAGTAACGCCTTCTGGCTGTTAGGGTGATGATAATAATAATATTCTTTTTTTGTTTAAGTATGACTTTTGTCTCTTTGCACATCACCCTGTGCGCGCAAAAATAATTATTATCGATTTTACATAGGTAGGTACCTAGTATTAATTAAAAAATATGTAAGTACAACTTATAAGCAATTATAAATTGTGACTTGAAACACCATGTCATACCAATTCATATTAATTTTTTTAGGTACTAGATACCTAAAAAAATTACGACTAACCACCTCGCTACATAAATGAAATAGGTATTCAAACCTAAAAAGTTGACAAACGATCATTATTCAACCAATAAAAAGCCAGGTGTCTACCTAAGTAAAACTCGTTACGTATACTGAGTACTCAATCATCGCTGTCCCAACTTCAATGAAAAATATTTGATATCCACAGCCCAAGTAAAAAATAATTATCTTGTTTTTATTTCTTTTTCACTAAGCCCTACTTGACTGCACGGTTGGTGCGGTGGCTGGGCAACCGTCTGCCGTGCAACGTGTCGCGGGTTCGATTCCCGCACGGAACAACACTTTGTGTGATCCACAAATTGTTGTTTCGGGTCTGGGTGTCATGTGTATGTGAACTTGTATGTTTGTAAACGCACCCACGACACAGGAGATAATCCTAGTGTGGGGCAACGATTTAAAAAAAAAAACAGTTTTATTTTTTAAATAAATAAAACATCTCGCTAATAACCACCTGCCTATATTTACTTAATTATTAATTTCTGTAACTTAGAATGCCGTTTAATCCTTGATGAAGTATGTAGAAGTATCAATTTTACCTCTTACAGGCTCTACATGAGGGAAAATAACTCATTACTCAAATATAAAAGTAAAACACTTTCGCTAAATACACATAGCACTACTAGTAGTGACATCTATAACGTGAATGAGGAAACATGAAGTAAAGACGCTAGACATAAACTGTCGTCGCTCCGTTTCTCACTGATTCAGAATAACGGAACGTTTCGTTGTCCAACATAATGTATCTGTGCACACTTTGCCAGCTGACATTGACAGATAACAAGTTATTGTGTTTCAACATTACATTATAAATAAATACGTGAAAGGATCGTGAATGCTATGGCGTTGAGTTACTTTAATGAAAGCGAGGCACCCCGGGACTTCCGAGTATCTTCGACGGAGAGTGATGGCCACTACAAGAAATGTCTCCTTTGTTACACCGTGAAAAAGAACTTCTATTGTCCAGATTGCGTCAGGGCGGGCAATTTCGTACATTCGTCTATGCCTTATGCTGATAGGTACGTTCTTCCACTTTATTTACGCAGTAATATCAATAACCTCCTATAATTATCTCAGTCTGACTATGTCTCTTTTGACTGCGAATTTTATTTCTAATTTCAAAATCGATGGTCACTTGCGCGTCGCATGATATTAGAGTCACCATATGCGTCGTATTTATATGTAAACAATGCGGAAATGTAGTTTGCACTTACTGAATGGATGAAGATAAATGTAAAGTGCAATATTTACTCTGAAACCACATCATGATAAGTCATTGTTATGGTGTCAGGTATAGCAGGCAGGGTGCATGTTTACAAACTTACATAACCTTGAATTGTTAATGTTGTGGCGGTAGCAGCGACTTTATGACTCAGCTTTTCATGAATATGAATAATTATCTAAATGAATATCAAAACCATCTATCCTAAAGGTTTTATTTATGTAAACGAAGTTTTTTACCGTAATGATTCATTTGCTCATTTTGTTTTTATTGTTTGATCTGAAGACAAAACAATCTTACTCTATATATAAACCAACAGATATGCAGAGAAACAAGGAAAACTACTCCGCGTTAAAGTGAACCGTAAACATGTACTGGACCAATGTGAGAGACTGTTAGCAAATAAACTAAAAAGGGACACATTAGTGACAGAGGCCAAGCAGTCCAGAGACAAACTAGAGCTCCTTAGACTGGCCATACAACAGAGACGCAGAAACATCGAAGAAAAACGCAGAGAACTGACAGAACTTAGAAACTACAACAATGAGCTGACAATAAAGTTACCAAGGTACCAGAAACGAGTGACAAGCCTCGGCAAACATGCAGAGGTGCAGAGAATGGAACTGGAGAACAAAGTCAGTATGTACACGGAACAAACAGACGCATTGGCAGCTTTACGAAGATCTCGGATACGACAGCTCACCAAATACATTTTCCCTGTTTATATTACCTATGATACCAGGTAAGTTCCTTTTAATTTTACATAATTAAACAGCAGTGACTTTTATAATACCCATATTAATCTGTCAAACACCAAGCGGTCACCGGTGACCGCGACCTATTGTTCTTAAATTGTGTCTATAAAACCGGTACTCGACGAGTTAATACATTGATATATTATACTGAAAATACCCAAAATCTGTTCATACAAAAATAATCTGTAAACATCTGAAATAAGATCTATAATGGAGTTAATAGAAAGCGGTCACCAGTGACCGCTTGGAGATTGAACAGTTAAAAATTGATAAGAACAATCATTATTAAGCAATTAACTAATAATATCTGAAAATCTATTAGATATGTATTTTCAACACATATTAGAATGGAATTTACTTGATCTGTGCCACCGTCCATGTAAATGAAATTAATACAATATTATCTAAGTAGGGCATTAAAACAGGCTAGTGATAAGATACAGACCGATTTTATCAGTGGATCACTAACTATATTGTTATATTACTATGTAATTACGTATTATTATAAATATCTTAACATTTTAAATCTACTGAACAGAAGATTGGGTTAGATTCCCAAATTGGACAATGATTATTTGTTTTCTCGAACTTTCGCCAATTTCTCAATAAATTAATAGAGTTAAGAAGGTTAATGTTATGTTATTACATGAGATTCATAACTTAACAGGTTAAAAATTATGTTATTTTTAATGTTATATTTTGTATGTTTGCTTCTGCTTACCCAAGGAATTAAAGGCGTAACATTATGTTCTTGATGTTCTTCAATGTCATGCCATATTGATATTAGGATTTTACCCGCAATCTGCAGTCTTTGTAAATATAAACACTTGCAGTTAGCATGATCAGAATGTAGGATATTGTGAGCCTTTTACAATGCATTGTAATTTATTACTTGAATACCTTAAAGAATAATGCAGTTTGTCTTGGTCAACAAACTATTTTTTTACCTAAAGTTATATTATTTATGTTTAGTCCTTGGTACATCAGCTACTTGCCAATAAAAGTCCCGTTAAAATCGGTCCAGCCATTTCAGAGATTAACCAGTACAAACACACAGACAGACAAAAATTGTAAAATTGTTACGTGCGATTAGTTCAATATTCCAAATAGACACTAGAATTTTATTTATTTGTATGATTGAACTATGAAGCTAATTCATCTGTTGATTATTTAAGTAGCAAGTCATACATTCCACAAAAAGTATAAGGAAGTGTTGTATAACTACAGATGAAATAGCCAACATTTTTTCATTACTTACATAATGAAACTGATTTTAAATTCCTTTCACTTAGCAAATACTTTTATTATTTTGTTCTTGTGTAATTCGATGTTTATTTCAGCGAGAGTATAGAGGACATGGAGTTTATAGGCGAGGACACGGAGGAGGAGCCCCCGCACCGGCCGCAGCTACACATCGTGGCGCCCTGGATACACACGGATGGAGACTTCTCGCAAGTACAGGCCTGGCGTACGTATATACTGACTTTCAACTTTAAAGCTATATAATAGAGTTCAATTTATTTTTATTAACCGTTTTAGAGTATACCTCCGCTACATTTTCGACTGCAAGTGCAACTTAACTGCACGTGGCCTGAATGTAGGTCGCCCAACCGATTTGAAATGAGTCTTTAGAAGAGGCCTATGTTCGGCCGTAAACTTTTTATAGCTGATACAATGCTGATGATGAATTGCGATCCCCAAGTTCCTTGCCAAGGATGAAGATGAAACAGGACTTTGCTGAGCAGTAGATATGATCCGCCTAATGATGGTGGTTGTTCCAGTCCGGCAGAACAAAGACATGGTGGCCGCGCCCCCGGGCGGCGCGGGCGGTGCGGGCGGGCGGGCGGTGCTTGCCCGGGCGCGCGCGCGTGCGCGGCGCTGTCGCTGTGCGCGCAGCTGGTGGCGCTGCTGGGCTGGGCGCTCGACGCCAGGCTGCCGCACACTATCGCACTCAAGTCAGTCTCTTCATACTTCATACACTCAACTCAAGTAATACCTACCATCACTCATAATGTCTAGTTGCGTTCAGCTTCTTTACTTTTGTCAAAGGCAGTTGCAAACTAAATTAAGTTTCGTACAGTAAACACTAGATCGTGACTACGACCGGCTCAAAACTGACGTAGATATAATGAAGTCACTTTCAGGAAATAGAATTGCGCATCGCACATTTACGATTTGTGGCTACAACTATCACACTTACAAGGTACAATGTAAAGGTACATTTAAAATAATGGATTGATAAATATTTTCCTTAAAACGTTTATGATGTTGATATTATCGTACAAAATATCGATAACATTTTCCTATGAAATGAAAACAATAGTCAACTACAAAAGTAAGTGCTAAATATCGCACTGCTTACACAAGCCTCCATAGCTCAGGGGTTAGAGCACTGGTCTTGTAAACCAGGGGTCGAGAGTTCAAATCTCTCTGGAGGCATTGTGATCACTGATATTTTTTGCATTTTCCAACCATTTATGTGTTTATCTTATATTTAAATGCAATTTTAAAAATTAAAATAAGGTAAATTTGTCCAGTCGTTCTCAAGTTCTAGCAAGACAAATGGACAACAATCGACCTTCTATGTACTGTACACCCTTTAAAAAAATCCAGAGGGACAATAATAATATTTTTTAAATTCATGACACATAAACGTAAAAAGCTAATCTTCGTTAATTAACGAAATAAAATACCTTGCCTTGCTTTTGTATTATTTAATTTCAATGATATGTTTCGCAATTTACACAACTGAAAACAAGTTGATTTAAGTAAAGCATAAAAGTTATACTATAATGTATTTACATTACAAAAGAAATAAGAAAGATCAAATAATGAAATCTACACATGAATGAGCGAAAATAAACCTTACGGTCTTCCTAATCGCAAATCTCGAGAACGGATTCACAGAATTGGATAAATCTTTGTTTATTTTGTCCGTTATTGTAAAGACAAGGTTTTTATGAAAGAAAAAAATAAAGTATGACTTGGATAGTTGAGGAATAATAGGTACCCTTCGGAGCCGTGGTGTGTTAAACCTTTAACTTCTACACAAAATAACAATGAGTATGGCACCACAATAATAAAACCTTTTTTTTTCAAAACTCGTTTGGTTTTTGTGTAGCACAAATACGCCTCACGGCAACGGGTGCCAAATATCGGTCGTGCCTACACAAGCCTCCATAGCTCAGGGGTTAGAGCACTGGTCTTGTAAACCAGGGGTCGAGAGTTCAAATCTCTCTGGAGGCATCTTTAGATATACGGTCTTTTTTACTTCGGTCAGTATTATTTTTATTTTCGAATAAATTTCCATATTTTTTATGCATTGTTTACATTGAATTTTAACATTTAGAAGTACATAATTATTCTAATTAGCATTTTGTTAATTGAACCGTTATCAGTTTTCGTTAGTTGTTAGTGAACAGTACAATGATGAGGTCATTAACTTTTACTGATTATTTCTTTATTTTATTACGATAGTTCGAACATAAACATGTTATTGAAAGGGGTAAGAATAATGAATGAAAGCGAGAAAATGTACGCTCATCTTGAAATCCAACCTTTTTATATTCCTATATCAATCCGTAGGAGTTTTAAAATTTCCAAAGTTATTTGTATAACTTGTCAAACTTTTGTCTACTAACTACTCCTGGTGGTCCTTGCATACGTAAAAGTTACCACCACAGTAATTCACTTACAAAAGGGCCCTCCCCCCTTAGTTAGCAGGGAACGTCTTCCAGCTGATGGTAATAATGATGATTAAGTGAAGAAGCGCGGTGTTGCAGCGAGTACAGCACCTGGCGCGCGTGGGAGGGCGGGGCCGGTCGCGCGCGGCGGCTGGGCGCGGCGGCCGCGTGGCTGGCGGCGCGCGCCGCGCTGTGTCCGCCGCACGGCCCGCACGCGCCGCACGCGCTGTCCGCGCTGCACTCGCTCGTCGTCGCCGCCAACACTGACGACCCCATGCTGGGCAGGTTCGTATACCCAATTTTCAGAATATATTCTGCACGTGGGTTCATAATAGCCTGATGCAAAAATCTAATACAAATAACGAAAGTATCACATAATTTCATTTCATACTAATAACCGGACGTTGTAATTAGAATATTTTGTGACCTATCGAAGGCCTTCGATAACTTAAATCACCTAATTTCTATCAAACTTAAACACTAATATATTTTTGTAAACCGACGTTCAATTTAATAACTCCATATTCAATTAATACTGAAACACGATTGTATAAAGTGTTAAATGTAAAGGTAAAAAGTCAGCAAATGGAATGCCACAGGGTACAATATTAGGTCCATCTCTTCTAGAATGCATAGATAAATCCCACAACTATCAAACTTATCTTTGATTAATTTCAATACGGTATTTGTGTATGCTATTATAAAGTATCTGTACGTCACAGAGTGGAGTCGTGGACGAGTAGTTGCGACGCGGCGGCGCGGTCCGTGTGGGCCGAGGCCATCGCCGCGCTCGGGGACCTCGACACTGACGACACTGAGCCGCCTGAACATCTACACTGGCCTGAGGCCATGGAGGTAACACTTGAACATTTATACTAATAATAATAAATATTGATTAGATTTATCAAAAGTTTTATATTATTCTAGCTAATTGAAGAGAAATAAGTACGACACTTGATACAAAAAGTTACGACAGTGATCTCTCGTCTACAAAATCATAGAATCTGCGTGGATAGTATTGAATTTGACCAGTGTTTTTATCATCCTTATTGGAAAATGTCTTTGTTCAGCAATAGATGTCTTATAGGTTCCTTAATGGTCGTGTATTTGTGTCCCCAGATGGAGGAGTTGAGTTGTAGCCCGGCGTCCCCGGCGCCGGCGCCGTCGCTGGTGACGTCGGCGGCCGCCTCGCTCGCCTCCATGTGGAGAGTCTTCACCAAGTGACCGGTACACTGCCACATCACTAACTCAACTACCTGTCTAATGACTAGTCTCAATAACTTTGTGTAATTTGGCTATTAGAGATAGAATTTTGTAACAATGAGACTGGCTGAAGGTCGTCGAAGATATTTACAGATGAGTACTACTGCTTATAGACATAAATGCTTAGTCAATAAATGCCCTATGACACTCTGTTCCGGGAGCACGAGCGCGTTTTGACGACTCCATTATTGATTTGCAACTGACTTCAAATAATAAAAATAATTATAACAATTTTTTTATTAGTATCACCGCGATTCTAAAATATTTTTTGCACTCAATTGTTTACTAGCAGTTTTGAATGTCACTACAGCTTTCAAATATACTTTCTTTCAATAGACTACAATTCTAGAGACTTAAAATTACAGCCATCTAGCGGCCGATATCGCATTGTAGATAGTTGAAGGATTATAATGTACCTACCAAAGCAAGATAAGCCGCGTTTTCACTAGGAGACATGTGCGGGGACATATCGCTCAATATTCATGTGGTATGTCTTTGCAACTTTGTGGGACAATGTCACTGGACATTTCGCTTGTATACATTGACCAGTTTTAATCTATATGTCGCCCGAGGAGGAGCCAGTATCGTCGTCAGACGTCGGGCAAACAAATGCCCCCCTCCCCCCCTCTCCTAGCGAAAATGAGGCTTTACATAGTATACTATAAAGTCGCACATTATAATTATTACAAAAACTAACAGTAGTACACAGAAATAGCTATATATGTATATGTGTAACGTATTATAGAAGTATAATAAATGTTCATCTTAGTGAAACTATTCCGTCTAACCTACTCGTATCATAAGTAGTCAAATATTTTGTATTACTGAGTTTTAGTCACATGAACAATACTTACTATGTCTGTCACACAACTGTTTTCTTCATGTGCTAGACAGATATAGGGATAACATCGTCTGTGTGTCTTGAAACTCAATCTTAATAACGGTGGACCTAAAATGTGCCCTGTGGAAAACCATACCTGTATTCTTTTTAAGGGTCTTATTTTCAATGTTACTTATTTAGCCATCCTACAAACGATAATCAGCCTTATTGATTAAACATTTAAGTACTCAAACAATAACCTTATTACGAAATATTACCCAAAGATAACTTTTCAATAGCACGTTTTAGAAACCCTTTGTAAAAAACTAGTTCTATGTAAACGCCATAGCATTCCGATTAAATAAAAAAATCGAGTAGTTTTACGATTCATTTGACTGCGACTTCTTTTGTTAACAATGTAATGTGGTCCGCCCTTTATAATTATGAATTAGTTAAAATGATTATAATGGCTGATATAACTAGGTGAGCACTAATATGTGGCTTTCGTAATCTTACGACAAAACGATGTGTTTACAAATTGTTTCAGTGATCTTATCCGCCATTAATTAATATCCTAGTAATGAGAGCAGACATAGACATTATTGTAGGCACTACTGAAGCAAACATTCATTTATCAAATTATAATTATTACAAATTTTATAGCAAATGTTCACGAGAATCATATTTCAATTATAATAATTCATTATCTGTATAACTGTTGTGTAGTTTACAATATTTATGCGGCTACGGGAAAGCCCGACTGGTTTCGAGCTCATACGGAGCCCTTAGTCATGAGTTGTGCACACGGTCGCGTGCTGCGTGTGCGAAGGCCGTATAGAAATGATCTAATTTTGTATTAATTGATGTATAAATTAATTTCATGTACCTAATTGGCTACGCCCTGTGAAAAACAAGTATTATGTGGGTTGTGTCAACTTTAATTATCTCAACGAATTGACAATGTTTTTATATTTTTTTGCAGTATGGACATAAATAAATACTATATAGTTTTATATAATAATGTGTTTTATTTTATATTAACTGGCTCCAGTGTTCTTTATAATGAAGTATGATGGCGGCAAACTGGGCCACTCCTTTTTATGTGGCTGGATAATCCAAAGAGGTGAAATGGGACGGAGTGTCAGAATTTTACTGGTTAAAAACTACCCTGTTCCGTGTTTGACAACCATTCATACCGTGTATGACGACCTATCCGCACAGCAGACAGCAGGGCCATGTCTGCGGTGGTCTGACCCGAAGCCCAGATCAACACTTTACGAACAACCTCGAAACTTTTTGAACAGGCTCAAAAGTTATCGAGCAATCTCCCAACCGTTTCGGTTATGATCGAAACTCTTCGGTCACGCTCAATACTTTTTAGTCGTTCTCGAAACTTATCGAGGACGCTAGAAACATTTCGAAACTAAAAACAATTATGGATTACAAATAAAAGATCACACGTAAACAAAACAAATGTAATTAATAATAAATACAATAAACTCTAAATACGACTAGTAAATAATACTGTTATAACTAAAATTAATAAATGCACTAAAATGTCTTTTAAATAAAACTAGTTAATGCCGTTGTGGCAACACCATCTCAACGTTAGCAACCCTATCACGTGACTACCACAGATTATACGAATTCATATTATCTGGAATATTATGCAGAATGTGATGAATAATGAATATTTTTTATCATTACACATTCAACTTGAAACTGAATGAGAATTATTGTACCAGAATTTTCTACAACATGCTCCAGTGAAACTTAAGGTTTGTTGCTTGCCACATTAGAAAAGCCAGTGTGAAACCTTTTGGTAGGTTTTAATTTTCTCCATTCCACATTAGTTTTCGTTGGAAATAATGTTTTATAAAACATATGGACTTGCCCTATAGCGTGACATGTATATTTTTATTCTAGAATAAAACTTTTCCAATGGCTTGAGCTCGTTTTTCTTTAGCGTTAACTATTATAAATAATTGACTCGGCCAAGGCAGCTGGTGCTTCAGACATGACACCTAGCACTCACTAACACGTAGAGTAGGTAGCAATAATATCAATGACTCAAAAATTGGTGGAGTATCGTATCGTCCCGCGGCGTGGAGTCAGACAGCGTCCCGGCCGCGCGCCCAGCGCCGGCTGCCGTCCGCCAGCGCGTCCGACAACTGCTCCACGCGCTGCAACAACTCCTCCGTCGGGACACCGCGCGCCCCGCGCAGCGCCGCGCCGGGGACTGCCACCCGCACTCGCCGCGCTCGGGGCCCGGCGCCGCGCGGCTCGAGCCCGAGCCTACGCATTGCAGCTGTATGGGCGCACAACTTGAACTGGGGCCTGCGCATGATAGCTGCACGGGCGTGCGGCTGGAACTGGGGCCCGCGCATGATAGCTGCACGGGGGCACGGCTGGAACTGGCGCCCGAGCATGGTAGCTGCACGGGTGCACAGCTAGAACTGGGGCCCGCGCATGATAGCTGTACGGGCGCACAACTGGAACTGGGTCCTGCACATGAGCGTTTTACGCGTACACAGCTAGAACTGGGGCTGACGGCCTGCAGCTGGAGCGGGGCGCGGCGCGGGGCGGCGGGGCCCGGCGGGTGCAACTGGAGCGTGGCGCGGCTGAGGCGCACGTGTCGCGCGGGCCGCAGGTCGCAGCAGGCGGCCCGCGGCGGCGCGTCGCTGCCGGACTCGCGCCGCTCCGGCAACTGGACGCCCGTGTCGCACATCCACGCCTTGCAGCGCTGCACATACATAGCAACAACGAAACTTATAATCATTATATAAAGTGATGAACGAGACATCTGCTGCCGAACAAAAACTCACCCTTAGTTTTCCATGCCGAATAGAAGACGCCGCCGTTTGCATTTGGATGGATTTAGATTGCCAGTGTCATAACCATTAGCGATTTGAATGATATCCATGTCAAATCGTGGTCGTCAATCAAGTTCTAATTTTAGCCTATCGGTAATTATTTCAAAGGTAGGTAAGATCCAAAAAGTATTAACAAAATTGTAACATACCTTAGCAGCGGCCTCTTTATTTTCCAACACCCGTAACGTCGTAGGAGTGGAGGAACAGCTCGGCGTATCACTGGGACTGACGCTGCGGCAGGGTGGGCTCCTCGACTTGCATGTGAAGCTGCGATCATCTCTAGATTGACACTTGGAGCACGGCGCCAGCTTCTCGCAGGTGGTGCAGATGTGTTGGGACCCGCTTTGTCTCTCTTCCAGGTGGCGCCGGAGTATCTCTAGCAGAGCGTCCTTTTCCTTCAATAATGCTTCTTGTTCTCTGTAAATTATATTGTATGTTTTGTTAACACCAGTTAGGACTCTAGAAGTACCTACGTATGTGCAACAACAAGGCGTGTGTACCTGTGCTTGTCTCTCATCCTCCGCATCCAAGTCCGCACGGCGCCGACGGCGCGGCGCGACTCCCCGCAGAGCGCGGCGCCGCGCGCGTAGGCCTGCTCCAGGTGCGACTGCAGCTCCGCCACCGCACTTACCTTCTCTCTGCAACACATTGCAAGAATGTACGCATTTTATGTAAGTCGTAGAGTTTGCAAACTCTTTATGGGTCACTTGTCAATTGAGTTTGCACGCGAGATTAATAGCAGAATACGCTGCTGGTCCGTATTACGAGCTTTATGAACTGCGCGCTACGAGCTACATACTACAGCCCTATGTGGCACGGAATTGAAATTCAAGGGCTTATAGATATAGGGTTACAAAGTGTTAGTAACAAAATTGAAATAATTTGTTTTGACTGAGAAAACTACTCAATACCTGTAGCAGGCGTCGATCTTCTGCGTGTGCGCGCGTGTCCTGGCCAGTTCCTGGTCGAGCGCGCACACGTGGCGCTGCGAGTCGTCCAGCTGGGCGCGCCACAGCTCCACCTGCGCGCTCAGGTACGACACCTCGCTGCGCATCTTGCAGTTCTGTGCGCATACCAGGACGTAGGGAAACTTGGCTTATAACTACTTTCCAATACACATTTCAGTCGAATACCGATGAGATGCTCGTAAAAATACTGGAAAGACATTTTGCCAAGCCCAAATTACATGATTACAACTTCCCCGACGACATCACCTCACAATCTCCTATTGTATCATTCCCCTCAATATTCTTACCTCTTTTATAATACTGTCAGCTTTTTCCAGTTCTTCCTGAAGGTTCTGAATCTTCTCCGCTTGACACTCATTCTCTTGTTTCAGTTGATTTATCAATTCCGTCTTCTCGTCCAATAACGCTGTACAAATTAATGAAATTTTATTTTTTATGTAAATAGACACTTGATGACTAGATAAATCATTAAGTGCTAAGCTAAGTATTTAAGTAACATTATCTACTTATAAACAATACCTTTAGTACGTCTGAGCTGCATTGACATCGCTTCACACGTGTCTTCCTGTGAACGTGCCAATTGCTCCCGTATCTTTGACAACTGAAATCAATAAGTTCACTCAATATCATGACGTACGTAGGTATCATCGACCAGCTATCATCTGTCAACATTAGTACGTGGACTTACTTCTTGATGTTTCATCTCGATCTCTGCTTGGTATTTCAGGTCTGCGTCGTTCTTGAGTGCGAGGACACCTTCCAAGCTACATAACTTTTGTTGCAGATTCCCCATTTTTATCTAAAGTAAAAAAGTAAGTGATAAAGGTCATTAAGTAGGGTGAACTCATCTAACTTCGTGACAAAGGCATTTGAGTAATAAAATACCAATAAATTATTAATTAATTTAATTCAGTCTCCGCATGAGTTTTAATCAGTCTTTTATGAGGAATACTAGCACAAATAATCAGATTTTTTTCTAGAAACCTAAGAGTTCTACCAAATTTACTAAACCGAATTATTAGGCGAGTCACAGAATTAGATGAGTTCACTATATACTTCGGTACAAAAGGTTGAGAAGGCTGGCAAACAAGCGACAGTCTGTCAAGAAAGGCATTATTAAAAGAATGTTAGATTGTTCTCTATCGACAACTAAGACCTCTCTGTTAAGTGTGAAACGATTTAGAAGAAGAAATACTTGGACAGTATCACCGATACTCACACGTAGTCCCTCAGCTTCTTTCTTTAGCTTTATATTTTCGTCCTTCAAACCACAAGTGCAACCAAGCTAAAAAAAAAAATAATTAAAAAATCATAACAAAAAAAAATTCAAATCAATTCACTATACATCTCAAAGAAAAAATAAATAGGTAAATAATAAGCAGTTGCACAATGACTAGCAGGTCAACCTGCTCCGATCTGTCATTTTTGTCGTTGAATTTTTTTAAAGAAATAAAGTTGAAAATCTAATAAAAAGCCAGAAAGGATTAGGTAGACCTGCCCAATGTACTAAAAGGTCAGCCTGGCGTCACCTACAGCGAGCAAGTCCTGCAGACGTAAGAGTTGTTCCGTGACTTCCTGCAAGTCATCCTGCACGCCTGGTACCGATGTCAACGAGTCCTCACTACGCTCCCACATACCCTGGCGCCAATCAAACAATCACAACTTGCAAACGTATTTATTTGGCACAAATATTATAATAATGTCATAGAAAGCTTCGATTTTCTTTATCTTGTTAGTATAGAATGCGTTGTTAGTAGATATCTACCGAGTCGTAATTTGTCGATGTCGACGTGGTACTGTTCAAAAAGTTCGATATCTCCGTCTTCAAACCATCCACTTCTAAGGCGATGTCCTGTATCAATAAAATATTTTCTTATCAAATTGTGCAGTGACAGCTATAATGGATAAACAAATAGGACTTAGCGCCATCTAGGTAACGCAGAAATGATATCCCTCATTTTGGAATAGGATTAGGTATGTATCTAGGCAAATAGTTATAAAATATACAATAACTTGGCTATACTAAACAAGATAACGCAAGAAAGAAATAATGTAAATACATACTTTACATCTATCTATTGACCATTTCTGCTTATCGATGACAATTTGGAGGTGCCCAATTTGATCAGCCTTCTGTTTCTCCATAAGGCGCACATCGAGATATGAACTGCGAAGCATTTCTATTAAGTTCTCCTGTTTTGCAGTCTGCAAATTAACAACACGGACGTATATACAAAATAGTTATTGTAGAACCTCATTAAACATTTGTTTTATGAACATTTAAGGCAATCATCACTTGGTGGCTTACCTCATAAAAGCATTCCCTGTAAAGTTCCTCTATAACGCTTAAGTTGTTCTCCAACGTGGTCACTATCGCTCTCTGATCTTCCATCTAGAATGATTCCAAGCACACCGTAACACCAACCATCCAATAAGATATTTGGGAGTTTAGTAAAGTAAGAACAAACACGAGACGCTTTTATTTTATAAGTCTTTATTGTTTTAAAGTAGGTTAATGTTTGCTGTATTTTTTATTTTGTTAGTTGCATGTACATAAAAAGTTTATTAATAACTTACAGAGATTTAATTTAAACTTTACTCACCGGTCTGTCCGTGACGACACACACGTCATGCTTCACCACCTTGCAGCAGTCTCCAAACTTGCGCAGAGTCTGATACTGGAAACATATTTCTCAATATTGTTTATCTTTGAAAATACAATTTAATATTAATCAAATACGTAAATGGCTAATTAAAATTGGTAATGAGATATGATAGTAAAATGACCAGTAGAAGACCAGCCGTTTTTGCAGATCGGCATTTCGTAACTGACAAGAAAGAAGAAACGTCAAAATAAACACAGTCTCTGTTCCAGATATATGAAAGACGGGAATGAAATAGCTACGAATCCAAGGTCATACCTCTTTAGTCTTCCTATCAAGTTCTTTCTTCAGTTCATTAGCACGTTCTGTAAGTGTAGCGATACGCTCCTCAGCCACCGCTAAACTGTCCGCCTGAACTCCTATCGTTTCCTCTTTATTCTGCAACTGTTAGCAATTTATTATGTAGTAAGGAAACAAGTTTTTAGAATTTAGAAGTACTAATTCGATGGTACAAGTATACTAGATAACTTACTATCTGTAGAGTAGCTAGTAATTTACTGTGATAGAAGGACGCGTCGCAAGTTGCGGTTGAACTGTCAATTAGACTACAGGTGGCACCACTGTCCTGTTGAGATATTCAAAAGTATTTAGTGTCTGTGTTTTTTTTTCTCTTGAAGATTTCTCCCCGTCGTAGCACGCCACAGCTGCTCAAGACGCACTCTATCCCAACCCAACATGATTAATACCATATGTTCAGGTATTTATTTATTTACCTTTACGCACACTCGTTCCATGCGATGTGTGAACTATGGTGTGTAAAATTAAACTGACACTTTAAATACTACAAACGTGAAGAATGTTACGATACATTCCAACTGCAAACGTTACTGTCGTTTCTTTCAATTAAGAATATATTTATCTACAGAAATTTTTAATGAAGTTCTAAAACCTTTGGAGTCTATCTTTTTGCTATGAAGCAACAAGGACCTAGTTTATTTATTGTATTGTTATTAATTAAGGTTCTCAGGTTTTCATAAAGACCTAAGAAGGTAATTAATCAAGACCTAACACCGAGATACTTAGGTACCTACCTAAGTTCACATACAGACATAAATGCTGATATCATGTCATTAAGAAGTATCCAACTCAATTAGACAGCGCTAATTAAACTCAGTTGATACATAAAGGCGCCATCAAACGCATATCATCTCATCAGCAATAAAGATGCCCAATATATCTCCAAACACATACCTATACATAGACGAGCAGGAAATCGTTAACAACCGCAAAGGGTACGATAGTTAAAAGCCAAATATTCGTAATTGAGGTCGCGATAAAATTGATCAAAGGTGGTCGTAAGAGCTCCTTCTGGAATGGGTTTAGATACATACTCAAGTAACGACTTGAACTAGAGAATAGAATGGCGCCGGCCGTGTTTTATTTAGTAGTTCAGAATGTGTATGCTCGTAAATTACACACGTAAACTATGGAAGAGATCTTCTAAATTATAACATTTTAGAAGGTGTTGTGTAGTCTAATCAAGACTTAATATTAATATATTCATAATTTTCAGTCAGGAATTGTTTTTTTATTGCCATTCAACGAAATACAACTAGGACGGTAGATACAGGTTTGAGCATGCATTTTTAAGATTACACACGTTACGCTAGTTGTAACAGTATTAACTGTACCTAATAATCATAGCTGACTGAAACACACCGGTCTTTGGAATCCAAAGAATTTAGATTCGTGAGTATGGGCTCCTAGAGTGGTTTGAAATTAGTTGAGATACCTAGTGAGAAATACAGGAACGTTAATATAAGTTGAAAATGATGTTATATATTCGGTTCCATTTTTCCACTTCAGTGTCTAAATTGACCTCCACACCGACTATCTAAAAACTCTATATACCTAGATGAATATCCAAAGGTGCTAAGACCTTCACATAAAATAAAAATATATTGTCATTTAATAATTTTCCTGACTCCGTGTAGTAAACTTAACACCCTCCCGATCCAATTCGTTGTAAACGGAGTCTTGACACAACTTAATTGACATAAAATACTATACTGATTTCTATGTACCCATTAGGTATACATCAGCCTATCCATTCTGGAACATGCATGTTATGTCTTGCGAATATGATACCAACATATTCGTACATTTCACGACAATCACAAAACATTATCGATCACCATTAACCATAATAAAAAAACAACACCTGCCAACTAGAACCAACGCTCAATGTGTTAGCTGGACAACAAGTCACCACACTAGAGTGCACACTTACTTTGGTAACATCACTAGCGTCCGAGTCCCCGCACATCAAGAGTCCATTGAACATCATGTTACACTGCACAACTACTTTATTGACAAACACTCTACAACAAACTACAACGTGCGCGTACTCAGCGGTCTGCACGGGAATGGATGCGCCGGCGACGGTGCACGCGATATATTTAGAACATCGTAAATAGTCATTTTTGAAGGGACGGTGGCGGTGGCCCACTTTGTTCTTTATTCTCATAGCTGCACCCGTTAGGGAGACAGCATGTTCCATAGATAAACAAAATATGGTTTGCTGTGCAAATCTTGGTGATAGATTTAGACATACCTAAGGTAGGTAAAAAAACTAAAATGAAATTGTAGGATTTACAAAATAGGACATTTTAGTTTTTGAAAGTCAAAGAGAGAGTAAGATTTTCAGCAGATTCCCAAAGAGCGAGCAACATCTCAGGTGCTGCGAAAACGACTAAGATCCTTATTTGCTCTTCATAATGAAGACCTTAAAGATGATTCAAACTTCAGTTTATAAAGAACAAACCAAGTAAGTTCATTAAAAAAAAACTAGTTTTCAAATGAGAATCACCCTATACATAGCGCAGGTAGTTCATTAGTTAAAAAGATCGCATGGCGAGCGGTTTCCGACGGCGACGTCCGCTCGTTTCGTCACAACACGGGATAAACATAGACCAACACTTCGAGATTATCGGGATTATGTCGTTAGCATCGAACGAATGGGTTACAACTGTTAATCTTTAACCGATTTAACAAGGCAGTAAAAGCATCGTACCGGTTCGTTAAATCTAGCATTTGTTTATAGTGTACATACGTCACCCAGGTTTTATGGGGGTATTATAATTGATTTTGACCAAGAAGAATCGGGTATCGAATTGACTACGTACATATGACTACGAATTGAGTTCGGAAGTGATGTGTAGTTAAGAAGCATGTTAGGTCAACAAATCTAGTAACTGTTTTCTAAATAGTAGGTATTTAGTCTGCTTACCTTTCTCATCTTAGTGGAAGAACTACACGTAAGACCTTTCTGTAGTTGCCTGATACAAAACATAATATTAAAAGTTCTGCCAATAACAATGTTCACAAGTAGATAGTGATAAATCACTTACGTGAACAACTCCGACGGCGATTGCTTGCACTGAAAGAAATAAATGTTTTGGGTCAATTTTATTTTTGTGGTTATAAGCTACTACAGCGAGGATATTCACTCGATTCGACTCGATCGCGGTCCGTCATGACTTGGTTGTGATCATAATCTCGACCAAAGATAGGCGAGGATGCGATCTAGCTTCGAAAGTTTCGAATTCACAGTTGCAGAATAGCCTAGCAGTTCTCGACCACGAAAAGTAAGTATCTACGTGCATTGTTTAAACGGGTACCTATATAGGTATCTACAACCTAACAAAATACCTAAATATTGCATAAATTCACTACGTATTGAAACAATGTGGACTAACCCTCTGTGAGTCTGAGCGCTCGGTACAGCAGCTCCTGCAATCAGGTCGACGATATAAAAACTTCCACAAGTCATAAATATCCCAAATGTGTCAACTTGTGGTCACCTAGCTTATAGTTACGGTTTGTTGCAATCTCAACAAAGATACAATATACTACTGGAATGAAATTCGACAGTGGCAGAGAGACGTACATTAATTTATATATGTACCTACCAAAGATGAATCAGTTTATCCACTGGCGAAAAGTGTATAAAAATACGTTGAATTGATTTTGATTTTATCGTGAACCAACAAATGCGACGGGAATTTTATTTTATAATATTTAGTTAGGACAGAAATATAAGCAACATAATGAATATGGGGAGGAAGTTAGGTTGAAACTCACTTAGGACTTGAACAACTACTCTTCTTGACTTCATCGTTAAAGTATATCTCTTCAACGCATTCACAATCAACCGTCTCTTCAAAGCATTCACAATAGACCTTATCTTTGCCGCATTTACAAATGACCTTTTCTTTGCCGCATTTACAATCGTCTTTCTCTTTGTCGCATTTACAAATGACCTTCTCTTTGCCGCATTTACAAATTACCTTCTCCTTGGTGCATTTACAATCGTCTTTCTCTTTACCGCATTTACAAATGACCTTTTCTTTACCGCATTTACAATCGTCTTTCTCTTTGCCGCATTTACAAATGACCTTCTCTTTGCCGCATTTGCAAATTACCTTCTCCTTGGTGCATTTACAATCGTCTTTCTCTTTGCCGCATTTACAAATGACCTTTTCTTTACCGCATTTACAATCGCCTTTCTCTTTGCCGCATTTACAAATGACCTTCTCTTTGCCGCATTTACAAATTACCTTCTCCTTGGTGCATTTACAATCGTCTTTCTCTTTACCGCATTTACAATAGACCTTTTCTTTGTCACATTCACAATGGACCTTTTCTTTACCGCATTCACAATGAACCTTCTCTTGTTTCTTTTTTTTCTGAGGTTTGTTGGCGGGACATTCGGGCTGGGCAAATTTCGATAGTCCTTGATTGTGACCTTCCCCATAGCACCGACTTGAATCTATAGACTTGTGACACGGTGGCGGACGCTCGGCCGGACAGCTGGGCTCTTGGCTGGGACAACGTCGAGGAGACCCTTGCAGGGCACAACCTCGGGGTGATTCTTGCCAGGGACAAACTTGGGGAGACTCCTGCAGTGGACAGTATCTAGGAGAAGCCTGACAGGAAGAATTCTTGGAAACGTTACACGGCGGTGTCTGTATAGATCCCCTTGGAGTACAGAAGACAGTATTGTTTGACTGGTCTTTCTTGAATGAAGTGTTGTGTTTCTGGAAGTGACACTCGAGGTCTGCTATCGAGGCATCAGACACCAGGACCGGGACTGAACAGGACTGTGAACAAACAAGAATATTTCAGTGTTAATTTACAAACGTTAGGTTATAAACAGGTTCACGGCTATATTGATCAAATCCTAGTAATACCTCACTCACAGTGATGGGAGGTAATTATTGTTTTACATTATAAAACACTAGTCACAAATCGAAGTACACAATGTACCGTACCTTACGTCTGAATGGATAAATTAGTATCATGTAACTATACAAATAGATATTGTAACTGGACATTCGCTACGGTTAATTGCAGTCTGACTCACTAACGGGACGGAACATCAAAGTGAAGTGTGAGACAAAATAAAACGCACTCTCTCTATGAAGGATACGTTTGGCGTGGACGAGGTGACCTCGCACTGCAGCGCGCAGCTCTGGTTAGGAGTCGAAGTCTTCGGCTCAGCACAAGGGCACTTTACAAACAAAATAAATGAATAAATTCACAATATTCTACAACAGTTTACTGGGTAAACATGACCAATCTGAGACAATCTTTAAATGAATTTTATCTTTAACATTTTGTCATCAAGTCAAGTTGGTCTACTGACAACTTATATAAGCTACTATAATTTACTTTAATTTCATTAAAGTTGCTCAGCATTCAAAGCATACAAAATGAAAACCTAATATTCTGTATATTAGTTAATATCATGTCATTTTGAAACCCACACTAAGTTGTGAGGAATATAAACAATAATAAAGCGGTCCAAACACAAGATACTGAAGAATAAATCAATTTAACAAACGCCTGTTTCATATAAATTGTATAATGATCAAAGTGGTGGTTAAAATTGTGAAGTATCTTACCTTGTCAGTCGCTTACTGTAGATGTGTGCACTTGGTAATAATTAACCAATCAATTAAAATAAGTTAAAGTAATCGAGAACATTATTAATGCACCAATTAATGAAATCTTGTCAGAGGCATGAGTGCTTGTTTTGAAATTTCGATAACTCACTTTACTACCCTAAATTTCAAATACAAAATTATCCTGATGATATCTTTTAAATAAATATTTCTACTTATATTATTACAATACAAAAACACTATCTCCTACGAATTCGATGTCATGACAGGTAACCTGCTGCGGAACCAAATTGCAGTTCCCGTCAACTTTGATAATTCTCGTACCTATTGTAGAAGACATGAAATAAATTAAGGAAAGTACCTGTAGCCTATGTCTCTTCGTGAAACCATTGGATTTCCTGTTAAATACCTTGAACATTAATTTTTAAGGTTACGTGCGGCAACCAACTAGAATTTCGATTGACTGACGGTAGGTACTCATTACTCAAAGGCGCTCACTTATTCAAATGTAAGCAGCACTCGGATAATCGTGACATTTTACTACAAGTTCATACAATTTGCCTTAGTCAAGCCCATGCAATAATAAACATAAATAAACACACATCTGCAAAATAGGTCCATTAGCCCCCTTACCTTACGCACTAGCGGTTGGCCACTTAAGTGCTAGGTGGTTCGTATCGCCTGCCGCGGCTGCCACTGCGGGTGTATCATGGTTGGAAAGCGGCCTACCACGGGCAGCGGCTAGCCGCGCGGTTGGCCGCTAGTGCGTAATGGAGCTTACTCTCTAAGCTTTACTAAACTTCTTCTAAAACTGCTGCAAAGTCAAAAATCTTAACTAAACGTACGTTTAATAGAATAAACCGTAAGAATAATAATAAAGAGGTTAGTCGATATTCATGGATTCATCGTTGGAGAGGTTGATGTTGGTCCGACAATCGTACGGTCGCAGCGCGGTGTCCCGCAGCGGCACGTCGCGCTTGCGCCGCGGCTGCGCGCGCACGCACGCGATGGTCACCGAGTCGTACGACGCGGACGACCCGTGTGGACACTCACCGTCGCCGCTCACGTAGTCTTTCGACTTCAGGCTAGTGACTTCTGAGTTGTCCTTTATCTGCGAAAGTCATCTCACGCTTTAGCGTAAAACAGTGGTAGGCACACTATAGGGCCCGCTGACGGTCCTTCGACATGAAAATGTATAGTGTAGAGCGCTAACTCAAAAGCACTTATTACCTATAATATGGATCAAGCAAGTTGCATGATAATGACGACCTAATAATAATTAATCACAGGAGTCACTAACTATGCAAACAATACTAATGTCGTAGGATACCTTGGCCTTGGCCAGCTTGAGCTGTCGCCGCATCTCCTTGATGATGTCGTCCTTGAAGAGCGCGCGCATGTTGGCGTCCCGGCACTGCTCGTCGAGCGCGGCGCACACGCGGCGCATGGCGTGCATCTCCTCCGACAGAGTCACGTTCACCTTGCGCAGCGCGCGGATATTGTCGCTGCTAGACTACAGACAGAGACCAAGTGCTAATATACAGACACAAACTCATCTTATTTACATACACAATTATGTATAGTTTTATTTTTCAATTTTCGTCACATTAATGCTAACGGTCATTTTACATTATTATAATTACACATAGGTACCTATTCCTGATCTCAGCTCGTTTAGTTGGCCCAAAAACGAAAGGTTCCTGTATTCTGTTTGATCAAGACATTAAAAGGGGATTTTGTCTGTTTACAATTTAAAAACTGATTATCAACTATTTAAATAGAAAATACCAAACCTTGAGGTTAGTCTCCATCTTCTGTATGCGCTCCTGGTACTTGAGCGTCTCGTGGCGCAGCAGCTCGCTGATGTCCTTCACCGGCTCCCACTCGCCGCACTAAATCAGCACACCACGTGAACATGCACATACAGGGATAGTTTACATAATGGAATGTAAATTACATTACAATATGGTAGGTAGGTACTACAAATAAATAGGCGAATTTAATATTTTTGAGATATTTAAAGTGTAATTACTTTTCTCGAGTATAGGATAAGATTGGGGTACCCATTTACCTTTGAAAAGAGGATTACTTGGTATCTACGCGGTAGTATAAAAAAGTGAGTATCATGTGTTTGGACCGAAGTAAATGTAAGCAGTAGTTCCATACCTCAGTCCCCGTGCAGCACATGCCGGCCATCACTTCGGCGTCCTTCTTCGCCACCTCTCTACGAACAGGGAAATCCACCGAATTTGTAACACCTGTCACTTTATAGTATGCCATAACAATTTCAACCAATAAATATTGTCAACCAAACAAGATATAAAAAAGACAAATGTTATGTATTTTTGTTTCCCGGATTTCATCTGTCGAGCGCATACAATGTATCGCAGGATGTTGCACCAGAGTTACTATTTCTGTCGTCACATGACGCGACACAATGGCAGGTGGTAGTAGTACTCACGGCGAGTGATACTTGCAGCTCGACATCTCTTTCCTAAGGTTCATGATAGTTTGCTCGTACGCTTGGGCTTCCTTATTCAGCTGTCTTATCTCTCTGTAGGAACCATTGGACGTATTATTATAGATATACTTAGGTACCTAAGTAGTAGTCTACCAATTCAATCGCCACTGCTCCACATTACCTTTCCTTGGCCATATTCTCCTTGTGCAGAGACTCGTTTAACAGCTTCAGCTCCGACACTTTACCGCATATTATGTTCTTCGAACCTCTCTGTTGCGACATCACAATATTGAATGATTTATTATCAGTAGGTAGCTGGTTACGGCATTCTAAGTTCTACTGCCTAGTGCAGTCGTTTCAAGATGAGAAAACATAATTATGACTACAAAATATTTTTACTGCATGATAGAGGTAAAAAGGAAAACACAGCAGACTTGGTAGTAATACAAATATAATAGAATTATTCTCCAAAATGGCATGTAAATAAATAACAATACAATTAGAGATTTATGTTATTCTGTAATGCCGACTGATTTTATATCTGTTCGTCTCTTGTTTGTAGCTGCGTGGCTTCCAGTCGCCGCGCTCCATCTTGTTCTGACGCCTGTATAAAGTACCAGACATTTAGTCTACAAACAGAATACAACACAAACAATGATATTTATGACTTTCAGCTTTTAAAAGTGCATTATTTTTTTCGGCACAAAATTGCAAAGTATTGTCAAGACTTACCATTCGACTGAGCCGAAAATATCAGATTCGGTGACTTCAGAGAACTGTATCCCGGCGAGGGTGCACTTGTCATTCTCCCGGAGCCTGCGCAGAACCTCCAACAAGCCGCGAAGGTCTGAGTCTTTGCGCACGAGGCGACCGCGCAACGCACAGCACTCCGCGCGGAGCTCGGACACCACCTGACCGACACCAAGTTGCAATGTTAGTATAAGCACCAGAAAACCTACTACTCTACAGACTAAGGGCTTCGACCTGCTAGCCTCGTCGTGGTAGTTTCCCTTTAGACCACATTTCACTAATTCAGTAGCTCCCAAAATGCAAGTGAGTAGCCCAATCAGGTGGTGTTCGAGACCAGAGTTCAACATCATAACGACTGCACTAACGCAATGGAAACATAGTATTTGTATCGCAGATAAATCTAGGTAGATATAACCGGCTTTATTACAAGTATCCATTGGAACTTATTTCGAAATTAGGTACTTGTTTGGGAGAACTTGTTCACTTATTAGGGATGATAACCTAGTGTAAGTGTGTAGTCCAAACAATTAATAATTTATCTCTATAAAACCATACCTCGCTATTCTTCTGGCGTTCCATCATCAGTTTGGTGGTGGCCTCTGTCTCGAGCTCTTCTACAGCACGCGCGAGGAGTGTGTTCTGGCCCACCAAGTCACTCACCCACGACCGAAGTAGATTCACTTGTTGCTGTCATGGAAGTAATGAGGCATTGATGACGATTCAGACCAAATTAAATGCTCATCTATCCCACTCACCTAAATCAAGACTAATAAAAATATGCTCTAAAACGTCTGACCGAACTGACCTGCAGTTTGGTAACGCCACAGGCCCTCTCTAATTGTTCCAACTTCTCCTCATAGAGCCGCTGTATGTCCTTGAGGATGTCGAGTGTCGGTCCCTCCTTGCACACGCACAGCCCCGGGTCCCTCTCGGCTAACTCACACTCCCCTACACAAGGATCCATTATGAAATAAATTGATATTAAATCGTGTTTCTAAAGATGCTGTTGCATTGTAAATCCTTTGCGAAAATAAGGCTCCATCACTTCAGATAGGGTGACGTTTTTTTCTTGCGTTTGTTCGGTGAGGTTTTATATTTGTAACTGACAAAATGATGAAATAAAAACAAATAAGACCAGTGTTAAATTTTAATGTCAATGTTGTGACCAAAAAGTTTTGTTGTATTTGTTGTACAATTCTATCAAGAAGTTTCCAAGTCCTTGTTTCAAGCCAACTTCTTGATGGAATTGCTCACAAGATGGCGCTAGTGGGTGGGACCCTCTCGTTCTTCGCCCAATAGGAAATTAGCTAATATGTCACCATAGGACGTTCAATATTTGACAGCTGCTGTGATTGGACAAAAAATCCTTCCTACATTTGCGCCATCTGGTTAAATGTTAGTCGCCATTGGTCACAAATACGACTGCCGGGCATCAAAACATAGGGTATATTCTGAGTTTTAATATTTCTTTATTTAATAACAATTATTATAGCCTTATAGGAGAAAAACAAAATATTGATTCATACAAGTTTGGTTGCCCAAATGTTAAATGAATGGAACCACTATGTGATTTCGTACTCTCATCAGTAAATAAAAAATAACTTAACATATAAATAAAACGACAAACTTCTATACAATTGTGTATATTTGGATTAAATTAATTTGGCTAATTCTTTGTACCTAGTGTATATTCACAGTAAGCTTCTATTTCTAGTGTTTCACACAACACATACATATTTTAAGCGACATCCACAATCATTGATGGTAAAAGTGCTCCATTTTACGATCACGAAACATAATAAACTCATTTAAGATGAAACTAAGATCACACATCACCATATCAAGGTTCCTAAAACTCCATTTCAATTTTCAATTTTACTACTTTGTAATAAAGGTGATAATCTACTAAAGAATTTAAACTGTTTGAGGTAGCGTGATGTGCTAGTGTATGACTGAGCTAATACAACACTTGAATCAAACATCCAATTGTACCAACAATAGTTAACAGATAGTGGTCAAACGTCGGCCCATCAAATATAAACATGACATAAAAAGAAAACGTCTTTATATTCTACGCAGTTGAGTTCATATTCGTGCAATACGTAACACTTTGAATGCTTTACGGATCAACAAACCGTCTTATTTCCTAGAATACTATTCTGAATCACAGAGAATAGTATATAGACATGTCAGTATATGGCAATACATTATAATTCAATTGAAAGATACTTTCAAAAATAAAACTCTACATAAAAATATTTACAAAATGTTCTACTTACAACTACATAGCTTCAACAACAACGTCATCACACAGGTACTGACACTGCGCAATATAAATAGTACTGAGTAAAGTGCTATCAACGAGAACATGTTATATTCAAGATACGTTAAAACGCTAATAACTTACAGTCTTGTATTGCAAACTACAATTTTATTACATGGTGCAGAAACATTTAAAGGTACACCATACACGAAGGGTATGACAGAGAAATTGTTCATACATCAAATATGACATAAAAATAATTCAAAAAACATTGAAGTATAATATTAATATTCGTCTAAAAGTGAGCACTGTGTGCCTTTAATCTCAATCTCTCAAGTCTCGCAGTGCGCCGCGGAGCCTCCAACTAAGTCTCGGGCTCCGGTCTGACCGGCCGCGGCCCTATATACTACATAGACCATTCTCACATACGTTTAAAACTTAGCATCATTTTTTCTATTGCACACACAAGAATTGACATCAAAATGTCAAATAAAAAATCTTCTAAGTATTCAAGTTTCTTAAATAAAACGACGTATAATAATTTGAATTCCAAACTATGATAATATTCTCTTCTTATATTAAGTAGTTATGGACATATATAACTTTCAATAAATGCTGTGCATTAACTTTTTTAAAGTGATGTTCTTTGCGCCACTCAAAGCGCATTTAGACATACAAAATATTGTTAGAACACATAAACAACCAGCGTCTACGTTAAAGATAAGTTGATAATTTATTACAACTATTGATCATGACTACAACCACCGTATAAACGTGTCAATACAGAATAAACGTGAACTTACCACCTAACAAGGAACTATATTAACAAAGCGAGTTTCTGTATCATTTCAAAATAAAATAACTTACACAAGCTCTTATAACACTTAAATCTTAAGCTGCCATCTAACAACAAATAGCTTATTAATGCTTATATTCGGTAAATGTTGAGAAAATGCAGAGAAATATTATAACAAAATCATTGATTACTTCAAAGTAAATAAGTCGTGTACTATTGTGAGGCATAGAATAATTACTATGACTATGTATAATAAGCTCACTCTCGCCGTGCCCGTCAGCCCGTCAGCACTAGATTCTACTTCGCAATGGTGATCTGAAATAAAATAATTGTTGTGATTTTATGTGTGAGGAACCAAGTGACTTAAATTAATAAAAAAAGAATGACAAAGATGAAGATAACTAAATAAAAAACATGGATTTGCGAGAAAAATCAAGACTTATGATAGGGGGAATGGAATAAGAGGAAATATGTCCATTCCAAGTATATTGGAATAAGGGACAGAAAAAAGTTACCCTATCTAATCACATAATTACATAATTATATACATACTTGATCACCAGATCCGACAATGTCTACAGAGCATCAAGAGTCCATGTTCAGTACATCTGTTTGAGCTGTTCATACGTGAGGAAGAAGATAATGTTCCAAGGCCCCATCCGCAGCCAGGTTGGCACGAAGCCCTTGTATAAAGCCATGAAACCTTCATTGCGCACTGTCTGCAAAGTCAAGAACGTGATGTATAGTGCATTGTAAATTGAACTTTATTTCTTGAGTTTTAAGACTAATTATTGCTTGGCTTGTCGACCAAATGTGTTTAAGGGTTCTCCATCTACATTCTCCATTGTAGTTGATTAACAGTTATGTATTGTATGTATGTAGATGTACCTGTAGGAAGCAGTCCACAGTCCCTCTGTATATCCTCTCGTTGGGCTTCGGCGCCTGTCCCTTCAACTTTCTTTGGTTCATTAGCCGCGTCTATAAGATAAAATGGTTACTTATCACAGGTATTATAAATAACCAACGTTAACATTTTACTGTATAAAACATGATGGAAGCTGAAGAAGTCTAATATCAAAAGTTGTGCTGTAGTTTTTGCCTATCCCCACGGGACAACAGCGTGAGTTCATGTATGTGTTGCGTTACCCGGATGACATCGAGCGGCGTGCTGGCCACGGCGCTGCCGAGGCTGGCGAGCAGGCTGGACGCGAAGTGGTTGAGGGGCGAGTCTCCCAGCGGGACGGTCAGGCGCTTCTTGCAGGCGTCGTACACGGGCAGCTCCACGGCCGCGATGACGGCGGCGCGCTGCGACGTCGGGCCCACGCCGCGCCACAGCCCGCGCCAGCCCTCCAGCCGGTGGATCTCCATGAAACATCGGACTAGACCACGCTTCTCGTCTCCCACCTGAAAATGTACACAAAAAAACTTGAAATTCCATGCTCCAATGTTACATTACAAGTAGCTTGTGAATAAATTTCATCGTTTATGGTGGATATTCCACGTAATAGTACAAAGAGCGTTTGGTTTCGAGTTTCTTCTCGCAAACTGCTCAAGAATGGAACAGTCAACCAAAGTACCTAATGTAACAAACATGAGCTCACCTGCATCCGCACTTTAAGCACATCTGTAGGATTGGCGATGGCACTGGAGAGTCCACCGGCGAAGGCAGCACAGAAGGTGTTGGTAGGCAGGTGCTCAATGGAGCCCCCATCCGCCCTGTGCTGCGCTATCCATTTCTTCATGGAGTAGTACGTGCCGAACTTTATCGTGCCGTACGTCGCCTGCCGGAGCACCGCCGGCCAGATGCTGAAGACAATACAAACACTCTCGTGAATAAATGAAGATATAATTATAGGCCGAAGTTTTAGGTTATATCGGAATCAGGACTACGATAATAGCTGTTTCAGTTTTGTGTAAAAAATTCTAATTAACAATTTATCTACAATAAACATCACTCAAACATTTTGAACATTCGCCAAAAAGTAGTGTATACATATGTTATGTACCTAGCTACATTATTGTCTAAGAGCTGTGTTTCTAGATAATGCCTATTTTTATGTGTCCTAGTTTGCTGCTTGTAAATAACGTTCGTTTTGTATACATTGTATTAATCTATGGATGTGCACAAACGACACGTTTTTCCCAGAATTTATTTTTAAGAAGTACTCAAATATACTAAATACGTTTAGATTACTGAGAGGAGTGAACCTTTTTGTCAACAAGAAACTGTATGCCAAATACAAAGTGCATTTAAAGGATATTCGTACAACAAAGAATTAATTACTACCACGCTTGTATGTCGCAATATTCTTACTAACAAATAAAACGTAGAAATGCGTCATTTGTTTGTTTTCATACAAGAGTAGACGATGTTTTGTAATGATATGATACTAGAAATGATTTTCTACAATCAGAAGATGACCTTGGCTATCCAATTGGATAATAAATTGCAGATCCTAAAAGTAGAAACTTGTACGACATCACTAAAGATAGTTATTAAAGTTGCCACGATTTGTAAAAGAATGTCATGACTATAAGAATATGTAAATTGACATTCTTTCTTCGCGAAATGCGCAGCAGTAAATAATTTCTTGGCAAGTACCTTGGTACGTAATGATTCATAAGACCAGAGACTGCGTGGCGATGGGTTGTGGAGTCACGCGAAGGTCGAAAGAGAGACGATTTATGAAAATTCAGTGTTTACTGATTTTTTTAACCCAAGGACGATAGGAAGTAAGTACTCTTTGCTCAATTGACATCGCTATAAGTTCTTTTGACTAAGTATTATTAAATAAGGGAGTGGCGGGGAAACAGATGGACGTTTGACCATAACAACAGCATGGCTTGTATTCCACGAAGCCAATACACTTAGTTATTGTCACACCCATCTGTCGCTATATGTATTATAACTATGAGTCCGTGTATAAATCCCGTGTATACCTTCTGCCATATTGTATACCGAATTGGATACCCGATATACCTAGTGAATACCTACTTAGTAGGTAATTTGCTTCATTGAAAAACGATCTTTTCAAAGCAGCCGCTTTAGAAATTAGGTACTTGACCATTCGATTATACAATTTTCCGCTCACTAAGAAATTGTAATTAGGTTCAAATTAACTTTCAGCGAGTCTAATGCAATTTACAAAATGACTTCTCGACATCCTGTACCGCGACATCGCCAACGTCGTTACTATTCGTGAAGCTAGTCACGTTAAAGGTCGCTCACATTATTCTACGCAAATAAAGAACAAACAAACAAAGATAAGGACAGATAGAAAGAAAATTTGCCTATCAAACACATTTTTACACTATCTGATTACAATAATATCCATGTTAAGTTTATCTACCTACTACTTCAAATAGATTTACTATCGAAACTTTGTATAAAAACTACATAAAAGTTTAATAAAATTCAACAAATATTTAATCTCGCGAAAGAAACAAACCAAGCATTAGCCGAAATGTTTGCCTAATAAAAAACATCCAACAAATACACAGCTAGAAAGACTGTAATAAGAATAAATATACGTTTGCTTGTTTTCGTCAGCAGATAACAGACGGCACTAGCACGGCACAGGGGCCGGCCTGGCTTATCGCATGATTCAATACATTGCGTATCCCAGTGTTTTGCACGCTATTTTGCACTCAAATGCGATACTGAACGCGTTTGACAATAGTATCGACGCGTGGGCCAGCTTATCAATGACCACTTATCGATATAAGTATCGGGAGTAAGGCAGTAGGTATTATCGATTCATAACAGCCTCTATACAGCCCCATTCTATGAAGCTCTAATCTCTCGCTAATAGATCTTTAACTCTTTTAAGTATCTAATTGTAACCCAACTTTATGGTTAAACTGTCAAACACCAAGCGGTCACCGGTGACCGCAACCTATTGTTCTTTAATTGTGTCTATAAATACGGTACTCGACGAGTTAATCTCATATTGTAATGTTATTTATCTTTAAGAACTTCAAGATGATCATAATAATTAAGTTTCGAATTTTATAAATTATGATGAATCACTATAAAAACTGTAAAGTTGTAGTTTGACAATTTTTTTGAGGTTTTGCAGCATTGAAACAAAATATAATTTATGTTAAACTTAAATGGATGTTTAGTTAGTATACAATAAATATATAAATACATAATTCATAACTGTCAAGTTTGGCAGGGCTGACTGCTATTTATCATAAACAGACAAAAACTCAAGTATTTATCCTACTACATTTCTGAACAATAAATAATAAGATTTTATAAACAGCTATAGCAATTATTCTAAGTTGTTTTTCCTAGCTGATGCAAATGTTTGCCATTCTCAATGCAGCTAATGTTATTGCAAGATTACAACACACAGACAAGACTAAATAAGCTATCTAGATTACTATCATAAACAGCTTCAATGTATACAAGATTGTTGATATTTTATCAGATCCAAAATGTTACTTTAACTGTTGCTAAGTAAATTATTAATTCTATTTCTAGTGTGTAGTAATAAAACAGTGATAATTATAATAAAATGAAAGAATAGACAATAAGTAGTCTTTTTGTGTTAAGACAATTTGTAGTGTATTATTTTTGATAACACTCATAATGATTTGTTTTTGTGAGTACGCTACAAAATAGCACTTTTACACATCAACATTCAACATTTTCTAAATGAGTAATAAGGAATCTTCAATTAACATTTTACTAAGTGTGATGACCAATTTTTTTTGTGTCATATCATAACCCCTGGCAGACCACACTACCTCAACCCATGACTTATTGTACTATCTACTTACACCTATTATGGACATAAATTATTCATTCAAGCATACTCACCCACAGTACAGTGCCTTGACCCCCTCCTGCTGAGATGTCTTGACGAAGCAATCCACCATGCCAGTATACCGGAGCTCCACATGTCGAGGGTCTATCTTCTGTCCCTGTATCTGAAGGCGGGTCTTTGTTGTGTCTATTGGGAATGTGCCTGGCACATAACATTTGGTAATTAAATAACTAGCTCCTCGTAACAGATATAATTGTCTTTCTTAGTTTATGATTTGTGTCATGAATAATGTAAGTAATGGTTTCTATAATCCTCACATAGTATATTTCCTAACTTAGTTTACATAGCCAGGGCGCAAGAATACTAAGGAGTATTAATTTTAACTATAATAGTGTATTACAGCAAAAGGTTTATTAACTTAAAATCACATTGTTTAACAATCCCGTACTATCATTAATTCATTAATTCTCTAAAGAATTAGTAAAAGTCATTAATAAGAAATTAGAAATCTTGTGAATTGATATCTACATATGATATAACTTTTTAAGGTTATGATCCACAGGACGTTTATAATTAGTTTCCTCACCGAATTCGGCGACGATCGACGCAAGGCCGCCGTAAATAAATGGTCTCCAATCTCTATCTCCCATCACACATAAAGTTTATTCAACAATCACAAATGTTTACTTCAGTAACCGGTAAGTCGGTAATTCTCACTATAGTTCCAAAGTAAGTTTCATAAGAGATTCATATTTTAAGTGAACACTGTACTACACACGTAGTTTCTGCATAGTCTTTGAAGAAATGTAATATTACGCCGTCAGTTTAGTTGCACTGCACACGAAACTAAACTCGCGCCGCTCGTCACGTTCGCTCTCGATTTCCTTCTCTCATCCTCAATCCATTGACTGATCAAACTGATGAAAAAGATTCCGAAGTCCGTCTAAATCTGACTTTATTGACAACTGTCAAAGTGTCAACCATATGTCAGAAATCCATAGACAAACCACCAAAGGTGTTTTATTTATTTTTATTAATGATATTTTATTTGATCTTCGAAATATTTGCAAATAACACTAAACAACTTAAAAACTAACAACTAAAATAAAATGTTTTTATTTGATTTTTCGGTATGTCAATGTAATCAAGCAAACAAGCAGTTTTTGCAATTGACATTGATAGGTATCTTGTTTTTGACATCGACACTATTGACAGTTAAAGTTTAACACAACACAGACGGGTTGGTCTTTTTTACTAATTATTTTTAATTTGGTTGTTTACTTACTAAGCGTAAATGGTTTAACATTTTAAGTTCTTTCGATTTACCCTAACTCTTATAAGTTTTACGACACAACTAATCAATAATTACAATACGAAAAAAACTAAAGGTACTGAGTCTACTGCATCGTTTTGAATAATCACTTAATTTCTCCGACACAGACGATTAAGGTAATTAATAATTTATTATTTTTCTTCATTCACAGTGCGGTAGTCTTGCTATTAGATCATAGACGTTAATGGGGGTGTGGCCATTGGTCCTCATTTTATGTGCAGTGATATTATTCCTACAAATATGTTATGGTGGTGACAGTAAGGTTTAATAAAAGGAAGGAAAATATCTAAAACAATTGATAAATTCCATTTCATTAAATTTAACCTGAAAAGTTAATGTGGGTACTAAAGTTTGTGTTCTGCCCAAATACTCAAACACTACTCAATGTTAAGTCGCGCTATAGTTCCATCACTCCCAATTTCTTTGTAAAATGACAGAGATAGAATGATATTTAAGTAGAACTAAAAAGTTAGTACCTAGCCTTTCAGTATTCGGACATGTGTCTGATAGCAAATGATTTATTATTACAGCAACTAACGGATCACAAAAATGAACTACAATGAGGAAGCCCCACAACAACAAGGGCCTACAAAGGTAGTGCGATTTGACAAGGGCTACATACAAACAATGCCCGGGATACTCAAACTAGTGCAGTTGGTAAGATATGGCTACTTTAATTAAATAAAGCATAATGACAATTTACGACATCAAATAGCATTTAAGATATTAAACCTCCAGTATGAGTCCTATGTAATGTATCCTTCCTATGTAATGAAGCCTTCCCCTGCCTTACAGAGAACTAACAGACATTTAAATTCCATGCAAAACAGAGCTTTGCATAGAATTTAAAATTGTATGTCAATATTATATTTAATATTGAAATTAAAAGACTATGCTCGACATTCTTCAGTCAGTATAAAATTCCCTTATGACATTGGAGTGACAGATTATCATCTTCAAGTACTATATTACTCATCACAAATATAGATATAAAGCTGACGTAAGATAAGATAGTAATTTTACTTAAAATTTTCAGGCGTGCAACCTTATAGGTTTCATATGCATCAAAATATCATGGTCATGGGTGTCCGCAATATTCTACAATATTTTGTACTGGGTCGGAATCATCATCACGGGGCTGCTTCTCTTCATGTACACATTCCACTTCGTAGAGAAGTTGGACAAGTGGCCGTGGCTCAAGTTTGAGTTTGCATATTGTATCATTATGAGTCTGACATATATTGGATGTTCTATATTTGCCTCAACTATCGGAGAGAGTGTTGGATATGCTGTTGGGGTATGTAAATAAACAAATTACCTTTTTATGTACTGCAATAGTCTGTTTTACCGCACTATTCCTTAGTTAACAAGCCGGATTGAACTCTATTAATATTTTCACATGTAGAGCCATATCTAGATCGAATTCAATTAGCAATTCAATTAAGCAATCAATTTTATCTAAGGCTATCAATCAGTTATATTAATGTTGGATTATTATTTTACAGTTCTTTGGGCTATGTGCAATCATCGCATATAGCTTCGATGGATACCTGAAGTACAAGGCGTGGAAGCGAGGACTGCCACCGCAGTAAAAGAGATCTTACGACTACCAACTCTAACAACTGGGCTTGATACATTCGTCACGATTATTTTTCAAGATGGCTGCATTTAAGATGTCGGAAAGCTGGTCTTGACTCCACTTCTAAATGGTCTGAATGGGTAAAGGTTAGTTCTAAGACCTTAGTTAGGTTCCCAGTGCATATTTAGTCTTATTTACGTACTGTGACTTAACAAGATTAAGCAAAGAGTATTGAATTATTTTATATTATAAGTTTACTTAACAAATGTATGTCATGTCTATACCAGTCATTTTAAGTGTTAAGTGTAGCTTACGCTATATTGTCTGAAGTATTTGATCTTTCATTTGATATTACACTGTTGAATATTTTCGATAAAAAAGCAACATTTTTTTAAAATAAGGACTTGCTTTGTTCTAAATTACTATACATATTTTCGTTAGTAAAATCATGTTGTATAATCATATTAGAATTATTATAAATAATGATGTCTGAGTTGTCTGACCCACATCGCGCACAATTTTATAAAGGTGTTAAAAATCTAAATTTAGCAATATATAGTCTTAGTTATATATTTTTGTATTGGCTTTAAATACCAGTTCATAATGTTAAACTTAATCACACAACGCTATGGGTGTGCCTTGTTAGTGTGCCTATATTTGTTATAAGCTAGAAGTCGCGACCATTCAATTTTATTACAAATATCATAAAGTTGAAAAATTAAGAAATATTTGACTTAGCAACGGATTACTAGCGTAGACACTAGCCCTGAATAAAAATCGCATGGATTTAAAACATATTACTTAAGAAATAGACAAAGTAAACAATGACTTACATAAAGACTGTCATTTTAGAATTTTGGATAACGAAAGACTTCGATTTTTAGGGGTTGATTTGATTGTAATGATGAAACCACTATACTTACAAAGATAATCCAATCAGAAAATTTAATGAAAATAGATACAAATAAACATCATTATTGAATGCTGTAAAAGCTTATGCACAAGAAATAAATATTAAAATAATAATATTATTGTAAATATTTTGAAAAGTTGTTTAATTTCGAACTAACATATTTTTGAAGATATTTGTACAAACCTTTACAAAGTAATGCACTTTGATATGCCATGTATATTGTTTAGTTTGAAGTATTTTACTAATCATGTTAACCCACCAGTATTTTGGTTAGATATACTTAACAAGGGTCCAACTCTTTGGGCATTTAACTTTATATAAATCAATGTAAAGTCTCACAGAGATATTTTTATATTGCTTTAAAAACTTTGAAAGATAGCAACAAGAAATACTAAGATAAGTACTTAGTTGGTCAGTTTGTTCATGTAACTTTTAGGGCCTATTTCTCAATGTTCTGATAAAGTTACTGTTAGCTTAGCCGACTCATTTCGTATGAAAACATGCGTCAGTTAGGCTAACCAAAACTTAATCAGATATTGTGAAACAGACCTTAAATATTACATTCGAAAATATTTACCTGTTCCTGTATTGCGATGTTATTACAATGATATTAATATTTAGACAGTAAAATATGATATTTACCTGTTGTTTGTGTACCAAGGTTGTAAATAGAGTTATCACTGGAATTTGTCGCTAGGGAGCGCTAGTGAGAAAAATGTCAAACTATTGACTGGTGAACTTTTTACCTCTACAAATAGACGAACAGGACTTAAAACTACATCAGCGCCCTCTAGTGCGAACAAAAACAATAGCTCTGTCTGTCTGTTTTAATCAAATATTCTTTTTGATTAGTTTTATTATTGTTAAGTATTATTGTTAATCATTTTATTGATATTTTACTTTTAAGTGATAAAACGCACTTTTGTAAACTGTTTACGAGAACAATGATAACATGTTGAAGTTAACATAACAAGTTGTACAGGAATGTTATATTAACTTACATTGAGTGTGGAGGGAATAGACAAAAATGGAAAGGAATTATTGAGGTGTATTCTTCCAATTACTTTGACCTCATATAGTACAATTACCCTTTGACCGCCACTATCAGTTACAGCCGACATTATATGTATTTATCTTAATAATATTATTAATACGAAAATTTGTGTTTGTTTGTTACTTAATCACATTACGAGTGGCTGAAGGGATCTGTAACTTTCAATTCGAAAGATCGAAATGAACTCGATCGCGGTCCGCCATGTCATTGGCTGGGAGAAAAAACTGGACTAATGAGTGGCAAGAATGTGATCGATCTCACTTCGAAATTTCGAATTTGACAGTAACAGAATACCCTAGGTGGAGTAGTTTATGATCCGAAATAACACGTAGGTTACTTCCAACTAAACGGGGGCGCAACCGCTGGCATAAGTTAGTTTAGCTATAATTGACAGTGGCAGTCAAAAGGGTAGAATTCCTTACCTTCGTCCCAATTTTTATTGTATTTTCTATAATCTCTTACGGCTAATGCCGGCTGTTGTTTATTAATTAATGTGTTGATGTCTATATCTAACTGTTAACGCAATAAAACCACTGTGAATACATTTCAGTTCTTTTATTTCATACAACAATTATTATCAAGAAAATATTAACAAAAGTCGGTCAGACCGGAATATTTATAGGCATAGCAAAAGATATTATTTTTTACTAAGAATTTGCAAAAATGCTAGTGTAAAAGTGTTTTAGAAATCGTGTTGTATTCTTATTTTTATGTATAAGTATAGTGAGCAACAAGTTCGTAACTTTATGTGGAATTTTATGAAAGTTTTTCAAATAACGTATGTAACGCAAACAGCTGATTGTTTATGTGCAAAATTAAACAGTGCATTATTTGTTGCATAGGTTATATAACTTCATTTCCCAATATACATAGCAGAATGGTTACCAACTTCTAACACTGTATTCTGCGTAAATATGCACTATGGAGTAACAGGTACATATTTCGTTATAAAATGAGCTAATTAAATTTTAAATATTCACAATGTGTGTTTATTAAATATCACAACATTAATTACGAACATGAGCATACATTGCATTACAGTAAGAACATATAATTATTATTAATATTTATTATATTTGACACAATAAGTGAGCAAAGCCATAGTGGAGAACAGTGGACGGAATAATACTTGTACAATTTACAAAAGAAATCTTATAACTAGTGTGGTAAGGTCGAGATTTGTTTGTAACTGTGCAGAAACCAGCAGGTTCAGTTACCCGAATCTGTCAATTTGTTTTCAACTTTATCGTTTTGTGATAAAATCGAAAATTGATAGATTGAAGTAAATTGACTATGCAAGTGACAAGAGACCACGGAGGCCGTAAAGAAATGAAATAAATGGAATACATTTTCTTAAGTTTTTACATAATAATATGAATTACTCTTAATATAACATCGCTTTTGTCACAAATATTCATATCAATATCAATACAACTTAGATTACAATCTTTGATTACTATTTATAACAATCAATAACATAATAATGAATGTTTTAAACATGATTAAATAAGTTAGTCCTTAATGTAATATTATCACAAATTTCTACACATCATAAGATTTAATAAGTATTCAGTAATAGTTATACACATTTATATTTTTGAACACTTTATAACCCAACACTCATATCTCAAATTCCTAAGTAAAAAATGTCCAAAAACAATAATAAAATAATATAATAAGTACATAATGAGGTATTGAAAGCCTTTGTGCAGCATTACCTAATATACAAGTATACCCTGGATCTGATGGCTGTCATTCTCATTCATCCAACTATTCTTAACCGACTTCCCAAAAAGGAGGAGGTTCTCAATTGAGCCGGATTCTCAAGGATTCCAAGGTTCCTCTCCCTCAAAAGGCCGGCAACATACAAATAAAATATATTTATATCATTTATTTTAACTAAACTATAATAATATGAAGACACTTTTCTTTATTTCTGTGGAATAGGAGGCAAACTAGTAGACGGATCACCTGATGGTGAGCGATCAGCGCCGCCCATGGACACCCGCAACACCAGAGGAGTCAGGTGCGTAGCCGGCCTTTTAAAAAGGAATACGCTCTTTCATAATTACTTCATAGATATCTAGATTATTTTATAAAGTAACATCTGAAAATAGCATGAACTTAAATGTGCGTGCCAAATGTCGGCAGTTTTTTGTTCTCCCAAAAAATACAGCATGATATTAAAACGTCTAGATAGCATATTAAATTATTACCTAATAATAATAATATTAAAACATAAATTGCAACTATGGACATGCTATCAAAATCGGACAGGATTTGGCATTTAACTGCGTGCCCGCGATTTAGTTCCAGTTTATCGTGTTGCAGATATGACCGGCACTGCACATGATTAGTGACGTCACAGCCATCAGAAACTGGGTTACATAACTTGGTGGGAAATAGGTTAAATACATTATATTTATACTTATTACTGTTTCTCCTGACCTTGGAGAAGTAGGTCGACATTTAGCGGTATCCAGACGCATTTGTAAAACACATACATACGTAGGTACTTACATACAGGCTATCATAAGCCGAAATGAGTAACCGATTGCAATCAAAAATCTTTGAATTACAATCTAGGTATCGATTTTCGACATCAGCTCAGCTCTAATGAATTTCTGTCAAAACCAAGATTAATCCAGTTATTTATGATTAGGATGAGGTAAAATCTAATTCCAGTTGTATTTAACATGAATTTAGTATGATCTGGTTACCCTTAAGTCCCTAATGCTAGGTACAAAAACTGGGTAGACATCAGCGCTACGTAGACTTGCATACTTAAATGTCCAAGGATGAGAAACAGAATAATTCTTCTGTCTTGTTCTACATATCTTACACAATTTTAAACTAAAATTTCACTAATTAATATTGTAGGTATTATTTTTGGTCATTTGCACGTAATCAGAGCAAAATATTTGAAGTGTTACCGCCATTTATAAGTGTTTACAAATTATACTTATAGCTAGTCTTTGTAAATTAATTTAAAATCATTTCAATCAGTAAGTAGGTATTCGAAAACCAATCAAGGTTCAAATCAACAAAATTAAATTGATTAATAAGTAGGTAATTCATAAAATATCGAAAATAAAATTTGAAATCTCGAAAATAATATCATTGATTATTAGATTCTTACTAATTTGCCTCCTCTCGTGTTCTTACAGACCAATAACATAAAATTGAAAAAAAAAATCAATTAATATGTGAATAACGAATCGTGACTTTGGTCCATTACTCGAGCTCTTATATTCTAAAACTCGTTTTTCTAGCATTCATAATTCTTGAACCAAGATGCTGGACAATACATGATGTTGATTAGATACTTATTTACAGAACACTTCCGCTAATTATAACTAAGTGTACACCAGCTCATTAAGCGACGAAGCTGTCAAAATATTGCAATCAATTTTCGACCATGTTACAAAATAACAAGGTTGAAAATCAATTGCAGAATTTTTACAAATTAGTAGATATTGCCTTACTGGTGTCTGTACCTGTTCAGATTGCATTCAATACCATCATACGAGTAAATACAATCTGTTACAGTAGCTATGTACATTTTCCAAAATTACCTAGATCCAGGTTGCTATGGTAACGCGGGGGGCGTGGTCACGTGTGTCTGCTTGGCTTGCACGCGGTGGCCCTGCGCGAGCTCGCCGGCCATCAGCGCTTGGTACTTGAGGAAGGCATCTCCTCCGTACAGCACCATCGCAAGGTAGCCGAAGAACTGCAAAGAAAAATAACAAGGGTTAAATGCAGGCAGGCTGGACTTCGACATTGATCAGATTTTTAATTTAAAGATCGAAAATCCAATGAAAAAGGTGATGGATTGGAGTAGGTTGAGCCGCTGGTCATAGTACGTAGGCAGACATTGTAAATCATGTAGCAATAAATAATATTTAATGTCTAGGCAAACCGTATTTGTTATCACTATTAGCATACATATAAGGTAAGACAGAGTAAGAAACCAAATGAGAAAAATATGACTCGATCATTATTTTCTACAAAACTGTAGGTAGAGATCCTGATCAAATTAAAAATATAAATTCAGTAAGAATTTATCCGATTCGAGAATAGACTAATTAATTACATATTTCTACTAGAACAACCTACAAATTTCATATTTTAACGAGCTTTAAAATAATAATAGTTTACACTTGTGTGGAAATCGCAATGAAAACTACGAAGAGATATGTTTTAGATCCGGTGTAAGTGTATCTAATCCAGGGCAAAGAAACCTACCAACGCATTGTGTCTAGAATACGAAGCGACTCATTTGATACACATTAAATAAAATATCTTTCAAATTAGTACTGAATCAATTGTCCTTCATTAAGATTCTATCAATGCAGACTGCGTAGAAAACATAAGAAGCCAACGGGAGCACGTGCATCATGTTATGGGCTGTTTATAAGAATTCATTATGGCATTATAAAGTTTTCTATGTCGTGTAAATACCAGCTATAATACATAATGTAAACATTAAATAAAGTCACGAAGTCCTTAAAGTCATGAAACATTTAATGGTTATGGGTTACAAGTTCTCCTAAATTAACCTCTTGACTGTCGGAACATAGGTAGATCTACGCGAGACACAATATGTTTTGTATTGTAACTTTCATGAGACATACTAAATAAATTATTATGTTTTCGGCTTACTCACGTAGTAATTTGACGAGGAACTCGACTAGTTTCAAGCCATGCTAGAGGCTCATATTCATGAGCAGCATTTCGCGACCTGCAACGCGGCGACTGTCGCGCTACTACTGACACAGTAGTAATAATTAAAATATGTTTTCTATTGTGTCTTATATACCGACAGTCAATAAGTAAATAATGGAGTTTCATGCTCATTCTTTTCTATAGAAATCTACACTTTGGAACAAGCAAATAGCTTCACTAGAGGACTGACCCACAGACTAACATTTTTAAAATTGTAATATTTATTTGATAGTCAAAAGTGCCTTCCTAGCTTAATTGAAGTTAATCATTTTGACTTTGACTTTGAATGGCATGTAGATAAAAACTATTATTTATTATGCTCAATAGTTTTAAAACTAATGTAGTCGTATCTGTCCACTACCTGACATTTTGCATTAACTGTTTTCAGTGTAAAAGGATTTATGTCTAGCTGTACGTACTGGTATGCTCGTATCTCGTGTTAGCAACTTCCAGGCAAGACAATACCTAATGGGCAAAACCGTCCCTGCTTATCAAAATAACGTGTGACAGACAAGAAACAACAAATTAAGATAATTAGCGAAAAGGTGACCTATATTTGTACCGAATATTTGTGTATGAATGAAATGAATGTATTTCTGTATGAATGTATTTAATAAGTAAAGTATGTAATTATAGTCTTATTAAAGTTTACCTACTTATTTTATGAACTCATCAAAAATAAATCCTTGCCTATTATGCCTTTCTACCACTGGAATAGACAGAAATAACAAAGCGCAACATACCACTCACTATGATGTTTGCATTCAATTCAAACATCTGATCATTATACAAGCCAATGTCTAAAATCTCTCCAATGCCTTCAATGAGGTCAGCTTTTGTTATATTTTATACATATGCAATAAATAATATAAATTCTGACACTATAACCGCTTAATTAAAAATACATGGGTATTATAACCTATCAATGGAAGTAAGGAAAATCTATTATCACAGCGGTATTTATTAGGTACCTACTACCTATAGCTATAACTACGAGGATATAAATAAAATTAACTATTTACCTTATTTTAATCAGTTTGGTACTAATACTATACACTCAAACGCAACATGCAACTACATACTACTTGGCTCTGTAGAGAGAATAACAAATTATTAAATGTAGATATTTTATAAATCGGTCACGTACGGCTCGGTATTGTGTGCCACTCGGCTTCGGTCCGCTTTTGTTTTGAAAGTGAACAACAGGTGGCCACTGGCTGACACCATCGTCGAGACTATCTCTATTGTCTGTTAATCTGCCGTGATAATAACAACATTGCTAAGAGACTATTTTGGTACCAAATTACCTATCAACATAGAGTTAGGAATTTATAGTAGGATTTTTTTAATGGGGGAAAAATCATCGAATGACTGCTCCCGCCTGGGTGAGGCGGGAGGGAGTGTCAGACTCTTACTGACTAAAAACCACCGTGCAGAAGGAACGGCTTCTCCTGCACGTCGAGCCGTAGTCCCGGGAACCCGTTAGGTTCTCCGTGACTCCGAATCGGCATCGGCCCTGTTGGGCCCCATCTGTGGTGGTTTGATGGGTCATTGATTGAAACGAGCGCGGAACGCAATGCGTCGTACGCTCGGGTCTGTTTCTGGTCGGACGGGGAGCCACCCATGCTCGCCGTCCGCAGACCCGTTATAGTAGGTATACGGTATACTAGGTATATTCGTTCAAATTTTATGATCAAATAATGTATTGTACCTATAATGTTGCGATCTATCAGTAGGCGGACATTTTAGGCCTTGGTGCTGACATCTCCTAGATAAATATGCAGGAGATGACTCACTGTCACATTGCCCACTTTTGTTTTCAACGTCTAAACTGAGATAAGATGAGTGTTGTTTATAAGAATGATTATTTGCGAGAGTATTATAGTTTGAGGATGCTAAAATCTTTTATTTGTATAAACTACTTATTTACTAGACCGTCCCGTTTATCCAACTACTGAATACTAAATGATTATGAAATGCAGAGAAATGTCACTGTAAGTCCCTTCTCATTACAAGATGGCTGACTACAAAAAAGTACTACTGAATAACAGAATGAAAAATCTCACCCCGGCAGCGGAGTACCCAGCAGCTCCAAACGCCACAACAATAGTAGACGCAATCAGGTACAGGAACACCATCACAATGTACGCGATCATCTCAATCTTCAGCCACTTGATGTTATGGTACTTCTCCACCACGTGGAACAGGTACAGCGCCAGCAGGATGCCGGAGAACCAGAACCCCAGGTTAGCTACTATGTTGAAGTATACTCCTCGACCATTTGACCAGAATGCGGACGATTGAATGCAGATGAAGCCGATTAAGTTGAAGAGCTGCAAAAAATATGTTGTTTAAATAAAGAATATTATGAAAATAAGGTATTTCCTTAACTTCACAGCAGTAGTCTCATAATTATTTACAGCAGTATTGGCAAAAAACGGGTTCGTTGCATCTTCCGAGACTGCACAAAAGGGTTCCGATCACCTGGCGGAACCGCTTGGAATTTTAATAGACGCCATAGCAGCTGAATACAAAACCTGTCCGCTAATTATTCACTACAAGCACAACGTAGTTAAAACAGTAATAAGTCTAGAGAAATCAGGTACTAATAAACCTTTATAGTATTCCTGATTTCAAGGACTTTGACTGGTTTTATGGTGGACTAAAAATGGAAAAAATAATCAAGTTATTAAAGCTGACTGTATTGACTCTCGTTATTAGTTCTCAGTAGTAGCACGGAGTCTGGAATTGTGCCCGGTATATGGCAATAGGTTCACCCCCTATTACATGGGACTCATAACATAAATAGTGAAAAGCGGGTGTTACATTGTACAGTGGCATAATGTACACCTCTGTCTACCCCTTCGGGGATAAAAGGCGTTATGTTATTAGTTCAAATAGCTTCAGAGTTACTGATTGTCTGGACGTTGAATCTATTTCCGCGTCCATTTGCTAGCTCCAAGGTCAAGGGTTATTAGAACAAGAGCACGATCGCGATGTAATCTCGAGTACTTGAGACGTATCACCGACAAATGGGGCCGTCCAAAAATTACATAAGCGCTATGGGGGGTGGGGGGTCTGTGTTTTGCTTATTTTGGATGACATAGAGGGTAGAGGAGTCTAGATTATGATTGCGTCATCGGTAGTACTTTTTTAGACGAATGGCAAATATCACATTGTCTATGATTGAAAACGAAACGCATTCTCGGGGATTCCCGCAAATAATGCATCCGTGTAGACACTCGCTTTAGAAGTTACTAGGGGCATTACCGCGCGCTATTCACTTGCGCGTCCGTCTATTTTTATACCTTTATTTTTCCAGTATGGGTGTCCAAGAATGAGTTCTAGAACGGCTATAAAGATTTTTGGGGACAAGGGGTCTCCATGACGGACGCCGCGTTCTATTTTGAAAGTTGGTCCAGTTCTCTCCAGCCTCACCCTACTTTTACAGTTTTCGTATATGTTATTGATAATGTCTGAGGTATATACGTCTTTTCTATTTCGTGATATCGTAGAGTCTCCTTGATTGACGTGTGTGAAATGGAATCAAAGGCTTTCCGATAATCTACAAAGGCTATGTAGATAGGGGAATTATATTCTTTGTATTTTTCATTCACTTGGCTGAGAACGTGAATGTGGTCTTTTGTAGAGTAGTTCGACCTAAACCCAGCTTGTTCTACGGGTTGTTTCGCATCAATCTTAGGTCCGATTCTTCTCAGCAGGCACTGGGAGAACAATTGGTATAGACTAGCCATGAGACTAATCGGTCTGTAATATGAGCCGTCTGATGGATCCCCTTTCTTGTAAATAAGAATGATTTCGGATACAGTCCATTGTTCTGGTACCTTTCGCTCTCTTAGGATATTGTTAAACAATACGGTGATTACACCTGAGATCATTTTTTCGCCTATTTTCAATGCTTCATTTATGATGGTGTCAGGCCCTGGGCTTTTTCGGTTATTTAGGTGTATGATAGATTTCGGATTCCAGTGCTTGAAGAATGTTGTTCGTTGATACCTCTTCAGACGGTCTCTTTTTGTATAGTTTTCTATGATAAGAAAATTATAAGAAAATATGAGAGTAAGAATAAATAAAATATAATTATAATATTATAATTGAAAAATGTTTACGTAAGCATAGGGGGAGGGGGTAAGAGCTTTGCTTACTTTTGTTGACAAGGGGAAGGGAGGGAATAAATAATTATGTATAATAAATGTGCTTACATAATTTTTGAACGGCCCCCAATACTGAAGTTTTTTTTTAAGGGGGGAAAATCATCGGATGCTCCCGCCTGGGTGAGGCGGGAGGGAGTGTCAGACTCTTACTGACTAAAAACCACCCCGTTCCTTCTCCTGCGTGTCGAGCCGGAGCTCCGGTTACCAGTTAAGTTCTCCGCGACCGTTAGGCTGAAGTTTAGGACTTGTTTTTCACCCAGTAGCCCAAATAATAAATTACATTGGCTTTTATACAAAAACATCATAAGGGGATCTGAAAATAGAATTTAACTTCTGCTAAGTTATGAGCAAAGGCCTTATCCTGAATAGCAAAGTGAAACGTTATTGTGTAACTAACCATCCTACACGTGTGATAAGTCAGTAATGTGTAAATAATGACCGATTGACGTAACTTAACGACCGTTTACCTACATTTACAAATATTTGTTTCGTTGAGTGCCGATCTTGTGTACGTACCTACTTACAGACCTAGTACGGTGAAGACACTTCACAAAATTGCAGAACTACTTAGCGGAACTAAATGACATTACAGTGACGCGTACATAAGTCTCAAATTGAATGTTATACGTGTATAATATCACTGACTCGAGGTTGAGAATGGAGCATTTGCTTTAAAATATTTGCAGAATTAAACTTTAATCGACTGAACAATGGGCCTAGGGGTTCTATTGCTAAGTTGGGCGAAGTGTAATGAGGATTTTGGTCTGAAATTCTGTCTCATGTACAGGAATAAGCAAGCGTATAGATATTTATCTACTTATCAACATAACTAGCGAAAACTACAAAAGTTTAAATCAATTCGTATTCGCCTTTTGTCTTCGGGGAATAAGAGGTGTGATAACTAGTATCCTAAATTCAAACTTAATGTAACTTACCACAACAACAACTTTAAGTATCCCTGGCAAAGTCTTCAAGTACGAGGGGTCGAATCTTAACTCTTTGATGAAGACCGTGTTTGTGGACCCCATAGTCTGGGGCGGGGGCGGGGGCAGCTGGTTAGGGTACGCCATGGCCACGTTTAGCTGAAACAAACGCAAAACTAAATACCACTACCACAATAGGGTAGACGACTAATTTTTATTTTAATGTCCGTCTGATAGATTATTTAAAAACATTAGACACGTATTTTTTATTTTCTCACAGAAACGAATAGTTTCGAAGATATATTGATTTGAAATGTCGCGTGACGTCACTTCTCAGTACATTTTATACTAAGGAATGACGTTTTAGCCCCCACTCCTAAACTTTGATTCGTTTTATCTAAGTATTGTTTTATTATACGACAAAATAAAAAAATACGTGTCTAATATTTTTTCATTACCTAACTTACGGACTAATTATATTTTTAATTTTCATACCCTGTCATCATCCCCATTATTTATCTTATTTTATGAATTGCGAGTACTAAGCAAGTGCTTAAGGTTTCCTAATAATGATTAAGAGATTCATAGCAGTGGATGAGTAAACACAAGTGTTACTGTTATGAGGACATATGACTCATAAATAAAATAAAAGTCAGGAAATCGAAAATTGACTCTGTATCTAGTCTAGTGTTCCACAACTAAAAAGTGTGAACTTGTTGAACATTTAAGTACGATTTATTTAGATTTTATAGACTTATAATTCAGTATAATTAAGTCGTCGAGTACCGGTTTTATAGACACAATTAAAGAACAATAGGTCGCGGTCACCGGTGACCGCTTGGTGTTTGACAGATTAATGCATAATCCTATCAATCGCATCACAGAAACTATTTAACACAAAATCCCCTACACAATAATGGGCAAAATATCAGATAATTCCATCTAATATTCACTGAACTTGACCTCTGACTAGACTCCCTAAGACACTTAGCACAGTTATCATTCACTTATCATCACCAATCACATTCCAATTACATGGATTAATCAATTTGACCTCGAGGTGCTCATTAATCACCTCGGCATCTGGAGTACGGCACATCTTATGCTGCAGCCCATCAAATTAATAAATTACTATATTATACTTCTTTTCCAACTAAAGTGAATCATTCAAAAATATAGTGATTCATGAGAATGAATGATTACTTTTAAATATAATGGTTACCTTATGGTGCTAATATGTTACTCATAAATATTTATATTTTGTTGTTTCATATTTTTCTGAAACCAGTATTGGTCCTGCTTATGGTCAATGTTATTTGACAATATTGTTAAGAATATTGTCAGTAGTTATGTCACGGAGAACCTAACGGATTATGTGGGCCCCGGCTCGAAGTGCAGGAGAAGGAACAGGGTGGTTTTCAGTCTATAAGAGTCTGACATTAAGGCGGGAGAAGTCATTCAATGAATTTCCCCCCTTAAACAAAATTGTCAGTAGTTATACAGCTAGGAGCAGATTGTTGTGATCTCAGTGTGTATTTGAATACCTGTAACGGGCTTACATGTACGTGTACAAGTGACTCATTATTGTAAGATATTGTATTGTTTATAAGTGTAACATGTAATGGTGTTGGTTTAGTTACCAATGAGTAATAATTATAAGATTTGCCAGATTCTATGTATCATACACCTCTCTAATTTTTTAAATTTTATATGTATAGGAATTTGTAGGTCTAAAATTATACAACTGGTTTTGAAGCAGACATATTATGTTATTAAACTGTCAAACACCAAGCGGTCACCGGTGACCGCGACCTATTGTTCTTTAATTGTGTCTATAAAACCGGTACTCGACGAGTTAATATTAGTGACTAGAATATTATACATTTGCATACCATCTTGAAGTTCTTTTTTCTTTATCTTAAATAAATGATAAGATTCCAATACTCAAGACATTTCAGATAAACAATTTGCCGACTAGTCCTTGAATTTAAACATTTTTTTGCCATTCATTAATAAACTGTTGATTTTTAATAAAATACAATAAGCCACAGAATTTGAGAAACATTAATTGATATGGTTGAATATATTCTAATTGGTTATAATATAAAACAAACTCATTATCGAGTCAATGTAGTTGTTCAATATTATTTTTAATATTAGTTTGTAAATAAATCCTTACCACTTGTTGGTCAGTCAATCACTAACTTACATACTTTAAACAAATTATAAAACTTAAAACATAGTAAATAAAAAGTACTCACATGTAGTGTGATGCGCAGTAAAGAGGCTGAATATTATCAACACAGTACACTAGCACAGCGGAGAGAATCACGTAAACTGAAACACCCACATCGCGTCTCGCGATAACCGAGAGCCGAGGAAGCTCTGTAACGATTTAGTCACCGTCGCCTTGACACTATATTTCTAACCGATATCGAGCCGTGTAAACCATCAGTGAGTCATATTTTTAAATAACACCGTCTTACAGCCGTAATACGTAACTTTGCGGGTGTTATTTGTTTATTCGTACGAAACGTCGTTGTATGTAATCAATGCAATGTAATTGCTATTGTAAAACATATATTGTAGAACAGACGTGACTTTTACATTGAAATAATTGTATTTTATTAATATTTTTGAAAGATATTTACTTAAATAATAGATTAAAATGAAATGTAAGCCGTAATAAAATACTGCTCATTGTTGTTGTCTTGTCTTGCAGTGTTAACAGTTAACTAGTGTTGCGCCTTGTGCAACGCGTACATCTTAATAATCGAATTAATAATTAAAATCGATTAATATTAATTTGTATCTCTATTAAATCTAACTATATTTATACTAAAATTATAATAATCAATACTTAAATGTGATTTAAATTGATACTCACTAATTTGAAATCCTGTATTTAAACTCTAATGATTGTATTCTCTTAAATAGCTAGGTCTTGGTCTTAGGCTATTTTGATTTCAGTTTGTCATAAGTTTTTCATCTCAACGCAGTTGGTTAGTGCAGTTAGCACTAACCAACGGCTAAAAAATTCAGATAGACAAAGCATAATCTTAAAATAAATGTTTACGATGTAACAATCTCTTTAACATATTGGATATTTTAATAATTCTAATAGGCATCAACCAAAAGTAGTTTAGGGAACGACGAGTAGAAATCTACTCTACAGGGAACTCCCTAAGATCGGAAAAGAAAGATCCTCTGACCAGGTGCGGTGATTTTCTATCCATGTTTAATTCGCAATTTGCAAGTAAGATTCACTTGTGTGGTGTAGAATTTGTGTTGTCATGTTGATTTGCTCGTAGATCCTCTATGCGCATCATTTGACTTCTGTCAATATTGTCGTATCTTGCTGCAGTACCTACCCATGACCAACTAGCATGCATGAAAAGACTGATGACTATTGAGGAAGCAAAAGAAGTATGTAAGATAGCAATTGGCGTTCCGTAGTCCCGATGATAGATAGGCTAAAGAATAGATAGATAACCTCACGTTATGTAAGTAAGTATGTATGTATGTATGCATTAGTCAGTGATTAGATTAAAAAAAATATCAAATACAGAAACAATACAATGTCAAATACAGAACCAATACAATGTCATTGCTTTGTCAAAGTAGCATAGAAATAAAATCTCAATTCTATGTAAATAAGAACATTTTTTATTTTATTGCGATTTCTTTATTGCCTTCCCTGCAATCGATTAGGAATTGCATCAGAACCTCACTAATCATGTCAAATTATCCGACATGTGTTAATGTCATTGTCAATGAGAGTCACGTCTGTTCAAAACATAAAACTGAAAATTTGACTCACATTCTTATTGAATTTTATTATTCACAATGAAGAAATAATTTCGTTTATTTTTACAACAAAATCTATTTTATGATTGTATCATTACATTTATAAAGGTTGAAATTCAATCATTATTTTTGTTATAAATGATTTTTGAACAAAAAAAATATTTTCAATTTCGTATAGAAGTATTAGAACCGATTATTCATAGACCGATTCCTTCATGTCACGTACGTAGAAGCGTTCCAGTCCCGCATGTAGGGTTTATGTAACCTTAATCATAAAATTCAGTCTCCTATCTTTTTTTAATCAATATCACTAGGTAGCGTTTTTATTGCTGTCTTGGTTTTTGGATGCTAATTTATATAGATGTCAATTTGAACATTGTGAGTGAGTGTTTGACTTGTCTGACGTTTACGCTTGTCGCGTATCGTATTCAAATTGGTTTCATGGTTTGGTTGGTCATATTCGGCTATCACCTGATATTAATTTACACCTAACAATTTAATTTATTACCTTATCAGGCCTAATACAAGTGCTTTTAACAAAAAGTGAGTGTGTGTAAAATTAAACGTTAAATCAAGGTAATTATTTATAGAAATAGCATTATGGTATTTATAAAAAATTTTGTGTTAATTTTGTGTTTATTTCTGTTGTGTGTTGCTCAATAATCGCTATTTTCGATGATGACAGGCGTGTTACTATGTTACAACGTGTTCGGTAGTAAAATCGTGGCACGCGTTCATTTCAGCGAAGTTTGGAACCATACACCCACAAATTTTATCAAATGGCTATATCAGCAGAGTGGATTACTATACATATTATTTTCCCTCGCCCACTGCTATTATGACTGTAAAGATTACGCCACAGTAATGTGTGTGTGTAAAAACAATTTTTATTTGTAAGCCTGTGTGATGTTAAAATATTCTTATAACTATGTGATTGTAAAACCAAATAATATTTTAATGGCTTCTAATCGACTACAGATCTATTAAAAGTGTAGTAGTTATTTTATCCCTCAAACATTTTCACTGTAAGCACAGTAAATGTTTTATGTAAACAACTTTCTCTTTTCAATATTAACTTGAAATAAACTGCACTTTCATACCCATAAGTGTAGTGCATAGATAGTTAATAGTTCCCATTGACTAGATCTATTCGGTATACTTAAAAATAGGTCAATTTATTATACAAACAGGTTGGTGATGATGAAGGTCAAATTATTGACAGAAAAGCCATTTTAACCCTTTGAGTACCATCATTATAGACACAATTAAAGAACAATAGGTGTAAGGACACCAGTGTCCTCGCAGTGTTTATCAGTTTACTTAATACAAATGTATGGTATTTATGGTATGTTATTGCTGCCATGGAAGGGCTTGGTGTGGAATGTGACGTGTGGAGACACCCTTGCACCATCACATCTTCTAAGTACCGCGCTGCATGTGTTGGAGCAACCGCTTCCGCGGCAGACACCCTCAAACCACGTAAATATTTAAATCTAGTGGGTAACTACTGTTTTGAGCTGTTTGCGGTCGAAACACTAGGCCATGGGGTCCCAGTGCACATTCTGTTTTTAAAGATATCGGCCATAGGCTAATCGATTCTACACATGACCAGAGGGCTGGCTATTTTTTCGGACAGAAAATAAATAATTATAATCTCTATTTTTAGTATACATAACCTATACAATATTATAACCAATTTGTGCAATCAACCTCACACTTTAAAACAATGGCCACAATAATTGGTGTTAAGTGTCTCGCTCGTAATCAGTCAGTGATTTCATAAATGATAAAAGCTGCAAAATATTTTGATAATAACATATACAAAAAGATATTAATTGTTGATCATAAAGCTTATCTATATTTCTTTACTTAATAAGTATTTGTAGATATCTGGCTATCTTTTAAACTGTCAAACACCGCGCAGTCACCGGTGACCGCAACCTATTGTTCTTTAATTGAGTCTATAATGATGGTACTCAAAGGATTAAATTGGGAAGAGATATAGAACGATTTCTAATTCTCATACTATGTATTATACATACATATTAAGCTCATGAGTTTGTTAGTTTAAACGCGGCTCCGAAACTACTGGTCTTAATTGAATAATTCGTTTTATGTTAGAGAGTCCATTTTTCTAAGGAAGGCTATACACTATAGTACATCATGCTACGATCGATAGTAGCTGAGCAGAGCATTTATTGCCAAAATAATGGCATTTTTTTTTCTATGGGCATTAGTAATAGTTCTCTGTAATTGATACTCTATGTTATCAAGCAATATGCTGTTGACTAATAATGTTTTATCTACATACATTTATATTTTACATATCTCTGTTTGTTGGTGTACACTGATAATGGTTATTTTTTATTTAAATTTTTGTAAAACTAATGATTTGAGGCCTTTGCCATGCAGTGGGACAATCATGGCTGAAAATAAAGTCAAAGCATTTATTTCAATTAAACCATAATTTGGTACTTTCGAAACATCAATTAATACAAAATAAATAATAGTCTGTCAGTCAGTCCGTCCGTCAGTGAAGCTAAGAAATAAATAAATAATAATGATTTGTTAGATGTATTACTGATGGTAGAGTTAATTGTAAACTTAAATTTGCCAAATTGTCTCACTGTTTATCTACAGGGAACGTGGTTGATTTATCACTTTCATATCATTGCTTTATCTTATCTGTTGTATTTTCTAAAGTGTAATTATTTGTTTTCCTCATTAAGTAAAATAAATAAATATCGTTTATCTCGTTGTCATAGTAATCCCATTGATATGGATTATTTACTTTCTAAAAGCTTTCCCTTAAAAGTTTCTAATGCTAACAGACTGATAAATTCTGTCATCTAAAACCGCATTAGTTATTCATATAAAAGACAAAAAATATTGTTTTTTTTCTCAACCCTATGTGCATAACTGAATACATGTGGGATTAGTATTGTATTTTCAACCGAATTCAAAAAAAACGAGGAGGTTCTCAATTCGACTGTATTTTTTTTTTACATGCACTAAAAAGTTTGTACCGCGCCGTGTGTTCGTGTACGCGCTAAACTCAAAAACTGCAGAACGGATGCTATTTTTATTAACTAGTAAACAGTTAGTTCCTAAATATGGTTCAAATGTTTATTTTTAATATTTAAGTACCTAACTGCAATCCGAAATCTACTATTACAAGTTACAACAGAACTGAATGTAATTATGTTTCCAGGTAATCAAAGATGGTTGAAGGAGGTTTCCCTGGTCAGCACACGACGACGACGACAGTGACGTCCAGCACCACGGTTCAGACCAACATACGGTTCGACCGCTCCTACATAACGACCATCCCAGGGATACTGAAGATAGTACAAGTTGTGAGTACCTACAATAATATACTACCACTTATTCCATTCACCATACGATATATAATTATACACTTCACACATTGCCATGCCCAAAGATGAACCTACGCTTTACTCCGCTCGGCGCTCAGAACTCGCCCAGTTTACGCTAGTTATGTTTATTTACAAGGGTGACCTAGTTAATTAACGTAATCTAGGTAATCAAAATTGCTGATTTCCTATTTATTCCTATAAGTCCTTGATTGACCTTGGAATTTAACTCAGGAGCGAAAACTGGGTAGTCAAAATATTCTGCTTTTCCTCTTCTTTTATTTTTCGCCGATAACCTTACATTTTAAACCCTATATTTACATCTACTCATCAGCGTATTTTAAGAGCATACTGCAAAGGCTTCTTCTTACACGGAGGTGGCTCAGTATCAGTATTGGATAATCACCACGCTTGTGCAAGGTGAATTGGCTGTTAGCATTTTTGGATGTTAGCCCTTTTCTGGTTTTTGCTTTGATTTAAAATAAAAAATAAAAGAAACAGCAGTATAGAATACACATAACATAGACTCCATAATACAATACACATACATAAAACGCAGTAAACCTTGTATATTTTCGCACAGCGAACTAATCAATACGAGTAGCCAACGTGGGCATTGTTCTGTAAAACCACCTGACTTGGGTTTGAGCAAAAACGGTAAAAGGTCAAGTTTTTCAATGTAATTCCACGCCGCGTTGTGTTATCGATGTGATCATATCGCAGCCATTATAAACGGCGAGTTATATACCCAGTATAGTAAGTAGCATGCGATACAACTGTAGCTACGTAATATTGTTAATTAAACGTTCACGCCCCACCCCTTAGGGTTACATTACACAGACGTGCTAGGGTATACATTAATTATTTAATTATCATTTAAAAGCAACCGTTTCCCAAACCTACCATCGTTCGGGAACACCCCAACGTAACTAACCATTCACGTCCTTGCCTAAAATAGCAGCATATTGATGTCTTCGACCAACTATAATAGACTGAAGTCGCTCTTCAGCACTGAAAATGAATATGCCGGACACGTTGAACACCATATTCACCTAACAATATGACCACGCAGCGTTCAAATTGATATGCAATAACATGGTCATTTATAGATATGATCATAAGAGATAACGCTACAAAGTTCAGCCCTTTACTTGGCTGTCGTGGTTCGGTATGACTGATCGTTGCCGATCATTTGTTAAAGACTGACCTAAGGGGTTTGGCGCGTCATTGTGACTCAACACTGCAGAATGACGGCATACTTACTTATGCTGTCTCAGTCAACTGTGACGTGTCCTTGTTATTCTCAAGCATAAGAAACAAACTATTGTTAGATATTTCCCTGAGTGCCTAGGTTGACACCTAGACATATCCTACGCTAATTGACAATAACAGTCTACCCACGTGAATTTACTGAGATAAGTTCTACTATGTATTGTATAGTTTCATTTACTACTCCACTAGTTGTTATGTTATGGCCTAGCCTAGTTACCAAACATGTTATAGGAAGGAAGGATAAGAAAAACCTTATCCGAAATATTCATCAGTAGTCGCATTGACGACCTTTTAATATAAATTTAAACGAATATTACATGCACGCACAACGTCATGCCGAAAAATACTAAATCCTATTGATAAGTGATACAAACATTTTGTACTGCGATTCAGTTGGTCCAATAATTATGAGGATGATGGAGGATGTTCGCCAAACAAACAAACAAACAAACAATATCTTCAGACTACACTGTCATGGTATTTGATGTTATGCTACCGACACTACTGGCTACACTTGATACTTATGACCTCAGACCTTTTCATCATTCTATGAGTTATATTTATTTAGGTACCTCGATAGTTTCTCACTGTTCGAAAACAGAATTACTAAGTATACAACCATTTAGTTTTCCTTACCGACTGCAATGAATCAGGTACCTAGTTACCTGTAACTATAGTGTACGGACATCGCGGCCGGATATTGTGTAGCCATTTCCACATATTGCAAAAATAATAATCTTTCATTGATACGATAACTTCTATAGATAGGTACCGACCTATTATAAAAACACATTTTTAAGGACGTCGTGTCATGGTTCTCTGATAATTATCAATTACTTAAGTCATTAGGTATGTACGAATGAATATTATTACCTATACTTACCTATTAAAATTTTACAATGCTCGCTATGAAGTTGATTATTTAAACTGGGTAATAGGTAAATAAAACACTATCCAAGATCCAAGACCTACATAATATAATAATATGAATAAAACAAAGGACCCCCGCCGCCATCATAAAGTTGACGCTACATACTAATATGAATAAATCTCTGTACTTTAATTTAATGATTTCTCATATCTTAAGTGAATAGTATTCGTTTTGAGAGAAATAAAATTCTTAAAAAAAATCATAAATGGCTATACTTGGGCCATTATAAACGTGCGAACTGGCATAATTAATGTTTATCATATCTTTCACTCACACTCGCAGAGTTGGGCGGCATTGTCATATTCCTTTTCCTTTGACGTGACAGTTCACGCGTTTGTAATGGCCCACCTATAGGTAGCTTCCAGCCTGCGTCCGACGGCTGCTGGACAATTCCAGGCAATTCCTTCTTAGTGCTCTGCTGCTCTAAGAAAAGTACCCAGAAGCAAAATTGTACATAGTCCATCACTCAATTAGGTACTCAATAACAAAAAAATGTTTATTGATTGTATAATACTCATAATAATAATTACATTCCAGCTATGCAGTCTCCTCGGGTTCATATGCATCCAGTGCTCACGCCTGAGCAGCTGGAGTAAAGGCTCCTTCTTCAGCTGGATCTCTATGATCGCCTTCTGGTTCACCGGGATCCTACTCGGCCTGTACCTCTTCCATATCCTGGAGAAGTTCTACAAGATCCCCTGGCTGAAGCTTGAGTTCCTGTTCTGCGCGATCTGGACGCTCATGTACCTGATTGCTTCTATTCTAGCTACAACTGTTCATGATAACCCTCATTCTGCTGCTGCGGTGAGTTTCATACCTTTTTTCTTTTATTATCATCTTTTTTTATTTGGGGTGGGTATTGAGTATTGGCTATGTGCAAAGCGAGTAGTGGTGGACAGATAACGACCGCAGCGCACAACACGGCAGAAATTGGAAACAAATGCGGATGATGCAAACTCGGTTTTTATTATTATATTCATTTTACAGTAAAACTATTGAATAAATTGCACTTAAACAATGTCAACAATACTATTTTAATATTTGGTTTTATTTATATTTGCAAAGAAAATTATAATGTTTACATTGTTATTATTTGACAGCTTCCGCAAATGTTGTAAACACTACGCGTCGCCACCGTCGCGAACAGCCAATAGGCCATTCTGCTGAATGTCAGTATTTTACATGGAGCAAGTGTATCTTTACTACCCTCTGTGTAGCACTTCCTTTGTTTATTTGAACAGCCAGTTACCCTGCAATGGTGCGCACGGTGTAGTTACAAGTCTACAGAGTATAGAAATTGTATAATGATTGTGGATTAATATTTTCAGTTCTTCGGTTTCGTGGCGATGTTGGCGTATTTGGTGGACGCATACCTAAAGTTCAAGGCAGTGCGTGACGGTGGCCTGGCCCAGGGCTCCCGTGTTGTCTCCAAGCAGACCTCCACCGTCGAGTCACCTCCTCCCCGGATTGGCTACTAATGAGGCTCACACACTAGTCCTGCAAGTCATCAGCCGGGAAGTATAAACGTGCTCATGTGAAGATAGTTGTTAAGTTGAAACTTGTACTTACTTTATTCGTGGGCTTTATACATTTCTTCTAAGGTCTGCGAATTGCTCACATACATTGTAGAAAAGTTCTCGCAAGTTAAAAGACATTGAATTGGCACCGTATTGCACTGTTAGTTGTTTAGTGTTGCGACGTCATTTGTAAATAATATTGAGCAAGAAACTGAACACATGTATTGCCATTATGAAATGTTTGTTGCCAGCAAAATAAGTTCCACATTTTTAGCTCAAAAACTCTTTAAATATCTGTGGTCACAATATAAGCTCAATAACTTTCTCTGTCCGTATGTCAGCTGTTTGTTTAAGATATATTCATTAGATTAAGCCTGAACAAAAATCATGTACTTAATCAAATCTTTAGCAGTATTTTTTAATTTTACGTTTGCTATCGCACTTATGTCGTCGAGATAAGAATGCATATCAAATAACAATAATTTCAAATTGTTTTTTAAATATTTATGAATGATCACAATGTGCTATGGACTCCTTAACTCGTCGAGTACCGTCATTATAGACACAATTATAGAACAATAGGTTGCGGTCACCGGTGACCGCTTGGTGCTTGACAGTTTAATTTGTATTATAATAACTAAAATTGGGGCGTTAACTTAGTAACCAAAGAATATGTACCTATCTACAGGGTGTGACGGCTCAAGAGGTGATCTGAAGGAAATGTAAGCATGACACATTTTGAAAAGTTTTTATTTTTATTTATATTTTTTATATTTAATACTTTTTATTCACTTATAGGCATTGTATGACATGGATAATTAATATTAATTTGTGTATTAGTAATATTTAATTGACATACTATATTAGTATATTAATATTAAGTAAATATTATGTATTATATTTGTACACGTCCAGATATAACTTTAAAATGAGCCTTAAACACTGTGCCTTGTGTTCATAAGTAGTCTATTTGCATCAATTATACATATGCACTATTTTATTAATGAAATGTTCAGTATTTTGTATCAACACGCGAAGTATTTACAAGTCACTTTTGACAGTATTTAAAAAAAAAATCTAGAATTTTTTTAATGGCTTACCTAATTGTTTTCTTTACGGCCAGTCTCATTTTGACAACACTGGCAACTCTGACGTCATAATTGTCTAAATTTTAAACATAATAACTACATACTCATTTGTTTCTTGCATTTAATCGCCGCACTCGGACTCATTTATACTTAACCCAGTCAAAATCTTTACTAAGGCACAGTTTAAGTAACCAATAAATGTCTCAGTATGTGGCGGTAATAATACTTTCCTACACTTTGCACTGAATTCAACTAGTCATTTCATTTTTCTATGTCCTTTATGTCGAATCGAAACGATTCTTCGAAGCGTATAATGGTACATTATTAGGTAAGCCATTAAAATAGAAATCAGTTTTATTAATGTATTCACTAATATTTGTGTAAATTAATATTATATTAGAGTTAAGTTTTAATTAACCACCTGACTAATTACAGTTATCTATGAGGTACATATGTATACTATTTTATTTATACATATTTACTATTAAGTTTTAACAATGAATTTATAATTGAACTTTACATTTGAACTTCGAACTAATTAAGTGTAGGAACACAATTTAATGTAGTTTTAAAAGTTTATAAAAAATATAATATATTTACAACGAAATAAGTGGATGATACCGGGTCAATGTAGTAAGAATACAGTTCTCAAGATATTTTTTATAGGTCAAATTGATTGTTGTTCTCGAAAGGAGATGAATGCTTCAATGTTTATATTTTTAATTCTCCGGTTTTAAAATTAATTATTTGGTTTAGTCTAATTCTGACTTCTAATAATAGTTAGTAAGAACTTGTTACTAGATATATGTACCTAAGTTATCAATTTTATAATCAATTTCTACTTATCTGTTTCGTCTAAAAATAATCATGGCTAACAGACAGTTATGTATTATGTATAAAAAATTAAAAATAGTATTTCTTAAGTATTGCTGCCATACTTGTATTTTTAATATAATAATAATGTTTATATTTGATATAAATAAATGAAAAGTAATTGTCACTGGTTGCATTGTAAACCAAATTCGCACTTAACATTATATACCTCTTTATACACAGGAAATACTCAATGCAATATAAATGTAACCATAATAATTTACCTTGTTACTTTTATTTTAATTCATCTTTTACGAAAATTTTTGTCGTAAATATGTATATGAATAAAAAACAATCGATATCTTTATGCATTTCTTGAAACTTTACTATTCCTTTACAAATGTTTTCTGTAATGAATTATGTATTGTGTTTTATTATAATAAGAATTCACGAAAAATAATGGTGCCTTACGAAACTCCTGTACCTATTTTGTAAATACTTTGAACATAATTATCTCATATCAATTAACTTATAATTATATAAGTGACCCAAATATATATTATATCACATATTTTCTGATGAATATAAATAGATAAATAATTAATTATGATGAAATAATCAAATTACCTTACGATTTTAATATCAATAATAATTCATTGGTCACTTCTATATTTTGTTATGCACAATATTCTACAGTTTTTAAATAGATAACTATATTTTATCAATCATCGCTTTGTATTAAACTGTTACTAAATATATTTCGAGAATAAATGTGTTAATTATTATACTGTATTTCATTTAAAAATCGAATTAAATCAAATGGGAGGATTACAAAAATATGTTATTATGATACATGTGGTTTTCAATCAACCTGCATCTGGTGTGTGATGCCATCACCAAAAATACTTTTAATATTCTATTATAGAGCAATATCAACGTCCAACACTGCATTAAAACCCGTGGACTACTAGTACGGTCGAGCTCGACCAATCCCGCCACATCGAGTTGTAATGGTAAAAAAGGAATTCGTAAACATGATAGAACAAGGGCTATGCAGACCCAGCAAGAGTCCATGGTCACCACCTCTATATATAGCACGTACACTACTTTAACTCGTTTTGTTCAGTTCAGGTCTTCTATTGTACTGTTCAGGTTGTGGCGGCTTAGGACAGGACACGCACAACAAGGTTTTAATAATACAACAATTGTAACATAATAGTAAATATATTTATTTTAAATGCATTTAATATATTAATAGTTAATGTTTAACATGTATTTGTACAACTCAACAATATATATTATAACTTCAAACGCTTGATGTCTTCCATTTTGAAGTCAATTCTGAAACAAGAAACACTTTGTTGAAATAATTGATGGGCAGACAATTACATTTTATGAATTTTGAAATACATTGAATTTTCAATTACTATATGAGACTACGTATAGGTAGGAATGCGATGAAATAAGTTGATATGAAGAATTTTTTAGACATCCTTTGCCCATTTAGGGGACCTAAGACGTCATAGTGCGTACCTGCGCGCGAGTATGTCCTTGGCCCGGTGCGCGGGCATGCGCGGCGCGGCGCCGAGCGCGTCCCGGGCGTGCGCGGGCGCGTCCAGCGCCAGCAGCGCGGCGGCCTGCGTGAGGCGCGCGCACCGCTCGCGGGCCGCCGCGGCGGCGCCCGCCCAGCCCGCCAGGCGCCGCGCGCGCCGCTCCACGCGCAGCGCCGCCGCGCGCTCGTAGCGCCCCGCCAGCATGGCGGCCTCGGCCCGCGCCGCCAGCTCGTCCAGCGCCGCCTGCAGCAGGGCGTCCACGCTGCGGCTAGATATGGCCGCCCGCGCCGCCTCACTCAGCTGTTCCAATGCTTGCGGTAACGCGTCTGCATCATCCTCCATGTCTTCTGTAAATACATACCACTTGGTTTAGATACTTAAATATGAATGGACCGACTAGACTGAAGTGATACCAGGGCTGCACAGAAAAGATATGCGCCCTTTTTATGCCCCTCCCCTTCAAAGGAGTATACCAAAATATTTGATGTTACAACAATCTATGAATTTCTGGTTATATACAGTTGCTTTATAGCTGGCGTTCATTCAGTGGTCATCTTGGATTTCTGGCAATAATTATTTTCTGGCAACCACCATCTTGGATTTCCATTTTGACAGCATCATCATTTTCACCACACTCGAAAACCATGAAAACGATACCCATGACGATAAGTTTTAAATTTCTGGCAGCGGCCATCTTGGATCGGTTTCACCACCCTCGTAAACAATGCATACAACCACCCATGATGACTTAAAATGAAACGCGTCGTATCGACAATATTACTACCTACTGCAGGCCGTCTCACATTGAGAATCCGTATAGCCGCCGCGGCGTATCGCATAACAGGCCTGCTCATTTATACACCTGCTTGTTTTATTACTTTATCCAAGTCTCCGAAGATATTATGTGATCATGATGATATATCAAATTAATCACTTTGACTGTAACATATACATAATTAACACAGACATATCGAATGTAAATAACCATCTATAATACATACATACCAGTATTAGCAGCATCACTAAGATGCAGCGCCCAGGCCTGCAGCTTGGGCGCGAGCGCGGCGGCGAGTGCGGCCAGCGCGAGGTCGTGCGCGGCGCGGAAGGCGGCCGCGGCGCCGGCCAGCCCGGCCGCGCACGACGCCAGTTTGTCCCGCTCCGACGCGCGCCGCGCCAGCGCGCCCGCCGCGCCCAGCGCCTCCGTCGCCAGGCGCTCCGCCCACTCGGCGCCCGCCTCGGCCTCCGCCATGTGCGCCAGGTACAGCTGGCGCGCCGCCGCCAGGTCGGGGTCGGGCGCGGCGCGGCTCGCGCGGGGCGGCCGGCCCGGCCAGCGCCAGCGGCTCGTGCGGCGGCGCGCGCAGCCAGCGGCGCAGGGCGGCCGCGCCGCGCTCCACCTGCGCGCTCACCTCGTTCAGCACGCAGCACGCGCCGTCCACGCTGCCCGCCGACACTGCACGCCTGGGGACACGCCATATGTTTTTGACCATACTAAACCACACGAAGCCGCATTAACGGAAGTTAAAAAAGGACAACCGTTATTTAAATCATCATCAGCCTGTATTCGTCCACTGCTGGACATAGGCCTCTCCTATGGCACGCCACTGAGCTCGGTCTTCAGCTCTTCTCATCCAACCACTGCCAGCCACCTTGCAGATGTCGTCACTCCACCTAGCTAGAGGGCGCCCTACACTGCGTTTGCCTAGACGCGGTCTCCACTCTAGAACACGTTTACCCCAACGGTTATCGGTTCTTCGACAAATGTGACCGGCCCACTGCCAGTTCAGCTTACTGATCCTTTGGGCTACGATCACTTCGTTTCGGATTCGATCCTTCAGAGAGACTCCGAGCATAGCCCTCTCCATAGCTCGCTGCGCGACCTTAAATTGGTGGACCAGTCGCACTGTCAGTGTCCACGTCTCGGCTCCGTATGTCATTACTGAAAGGACGCACTCGTTGAAGACTTTTGTCTTCAGGCTTTGCGGTATCTGAGACGAGAAGACTTGATTAAGTTTTCTATATGCTGCCCAGCCAAGCTGTATCCTTCTACGGGCCTCCTTTTCGAAGCTGTTCCTACCTAACTGCAGGGTTTGTCCTAGGTAGATGTATTCCTGAACGACTTCGAGAGGCGACCCGTTGAGAACAATTGTCTCCGGAATGACATGTTCATTGAACATTATTTTTGTTTTGTCCAAATTCATCCGGAGCCCAATGCGCGCGGAAGAATCAGCCAGGCTGCTCAGCATATATTGCAAGTCCTGAACGGTTTCAGCCACGATGACGATATCATCTGCAAATCTCAAGTGTGAGAGATACTTGCCGTTTATGTTTATGCCCCGTCCTTTCCAATGCAGTGTCTTGAACATATCCTCCATAGCATTTGTGAACAATTTGGGGGATATAACATCTCCTTGTCTCACTCCTCGATGCAGGTAAATAGGTTCAGACTGCTGATTTTGTACTTGGACGGCCATAGTCGCAGCTTCGTACAGTTCTCTCAGCACTTGGATATATCGCCAGTCGACTTGGCACCGTTGTAAGGACTCCAGAACAGACCAGATCTAGATAGAGTCAAAGGCCTTCTCATAGTCCACGAACGCCAAGCATAGAGGCCGATTATACTCCTCGGTCTTCTGTATAATCTGCCTCATCGTGTGAATGTGGTCCATGGTGCCATATCCTCCTCGGAACCCGGCCTGCTCGGGAGGCTGAAACTCATCAACCCTTCGTGCGAGACGATTCGTGATGACCCTGGAAAACAGCTTATAGATGTGGCTCAAAAGAGAAATAGGACGATAGTTCTTCAAAAGGGTTTTATCTCCTTTTTTGAAGAACATAACGACAATGCTTCTGCTCCACACCCTAGGAGTTCTCCCCGTGAAGAGGACGGAATTAAATATACTTTGGAGCCGCTCGAGAATCGGTTTTCCCCCTGCCTTAAGGAGCTCCGTCGTAATTCCGTCCTCACCGGGGGCTTTTCCATTTTTAAGCTGCCCCAAAGCCACCACGATTTCGTCTTGGCTGACCTCTGGCAGCTCTTCAGTGAAGTGGCGGACAAGTGTGGCCCTGGGATCCCCCGAGTATGATTGAGGTTGGGGTGCTTGTGACGCATATAGATCACCGTAGAAGCGCTGAACTTCCGCAAGAATCTCCGGCCCAGAAGCGACGATTTTTCCCTCAGATGTAGTCAGCTTCGTCAGATGGCTTCGACCTAGTTGCTGGATGAAAACTTTTGACCCCCGATTTCGCTCGATCGCTTCTTTTATAGCGCGTGTGTTGGAGCACCGAAGGTCACGTCTTACCTGCTTCGAGATCTTTCTATTAAGATCCGACGAAGCGACTGCTGGGTTTTCACGTCGCCTCCTCATCAGCTGCAGAGACTCCCCCGAAAGCCTCGCCCTCCTGCCGGTATTTTGCGCCCGCCACATTTTCGTCCCCTCATCTCGGAGTATCCCGACCATTTGGTCGAGTTTTTGGTCAATATCAGCGTCTATTGTGGTTTCCAAGACAGCGAATCGATTTTCCAGTTTTAGCTGGAAGCTTTCGGACCCGACAACAGTTTGGAGCAAATTAGGTCGGAGCGTAGACTTCATAAGACGGGCACGCTCGAATTTGTGTTTGATGTTTAGAGTGCCTCGTACCAGTCGGTGATCACTTCCTGTGTTGAACCTATTGATCACAGAGACATCTCTAAATATTCGCTTTTTGTCCGTCATAATGAAGTCTATCTCATTTTTAGTCATAGTGTCGGGGCTCCGCCACGTCCACTTCCGTTGAGGCTGCTTCTTAAAGAAGGAGTTCATCAAGAATAGCCCCTCCTTCTCCAGGAAGTTGACGAGCATTTGCCCCCTATGATTTCTGCTACCAAGCCCGTGTGGTCCTATCACCGATTCGCCGCTAATATGTACTCCCACTTTTGCGTTAAAATCCCCCATGACAACGTTGAAGTGGGCCTTTTGGGTGGTATGCAAGGCCCTAGAAATATCCTCGTACATTTCCTCTACTTCTTCGTCCGAATATGTCGAGGTAGGGGCGTACACTTGGATGACTTTTAGGTTATACCTCTTAGTAAGTTTAATCACAAGGTACGCTACCCTAGTCGACACGCTGGAGATCTCCAAGACGCTGTTTGAGAGGGATTTGTGGACCATAAACCCGACGCCGCCTTGAGATGGTTGGTCCCCTTCCCTAAAATACATGAGATGGCCAGACTTCAAGGTCACTGTGTCCTTCCCCTGTCTTCGGACTTCAGACAGCCCCAGAATATGCCACCTCATGTTACCCAGTTCCACTTCGAGCTGAGCCAGGTGTTCTTCGAGCCGTAGCGTGCGTCCGTTGTACGTAGCCAGGGTCAGTTGGTGTTGTCGGCCTTTCGTAGCCCGGGGATTCTTAGCACCCCCTGTCCCGCCGTTACCATGGCCGCCGACTTGGCCAGGAATAGCGGGGCGACCGGGAACTAGGGGCCGTTTTTTGAGGTGCCGTGCCATATAAGGTAATGCCCATAATCACCACGCTGGGCAGGCGGGTTGGTGATCGCAGGGCGTAGCTCCTCGCACTAGTGACGCTGCTCCCCGTCACTAGTCTGAAATTTTGCTACGCCTATTTAGCATGGTTATTCCGCCATGTGCCGGTCGCCAGAGCCTCGTCCGTTAGTCAGCAGGATGTACCACGAGCAGGTGAGGTTGGCTGGGGCACTGAGATGGTGTTGTGCCTCTTACACCACGTTATTTAAATGTAAATAAATTATTAGACATCAAAGCCACTAACCTGATAACCTTCCTGGCTATAAAGAACACATCATCCACCAAACTAGATGTGGTAGCCCCAACCTGTGGTGTTGCCAGCTTCAGTGCTTTATTTACACTCTCCTCCAAAAAGTATCTGTAAAATTACAACGTAACATTTTAAATAAACTTTGCAAATTAAACTAGTAAAAAATAAGATATGACTTAATGTTTTACCTTTCCAATGCTAGATAATATCCAAGTATTTCCTGTGCTGTCCTCATAAGGTCACACTCTGCTATAATCTTCTCTACTGCGTCCTTGCTTGCTTTCTTTTCAGCGTCTTTCAAAGGGGCCGCGTCCACCTGTAGAAACGAACAGAAGGTTAAAGTTGACCAAAAGAAAGAATTACATATTTGGAGACAAATTCGCATATAAGTAATTATAAAACAAAGACTCACTGCCTAAGTCTGATCACAATAAACTTAAAAACTACTGGTGGCGTATTATGACGTCTTAAATACAGAGTGGTTCCGTTGAGGGAACGAGATCTCGCTAGACGACTTGTATAGCTTTGTTTCGTTCCCTCAATGAAACCATTCTGACTTTAAGACGTCACAATCCTGCCTGGCCTGTCGTTATCCGGTCTTCTCGCAGACGAACCTAAGAAGCGCAAACCACGAATCGCAGTTATAGGAGTGCCGTCGACAATGACTGATACTGACGTCTTCAGGTGTATTTATGAACAGAACGTGTCTGACAAGCTCCCGGAGATGACAATGGAGTCTTTCTTAACATCAATCAAGTTAAGTCACAAATCGGGAAGAAAGGATGGACCGACCTGCAATTTCATCATCGAAGTTCCAGGCAAGATACGTAAAGCCCTTATATCCCAAGAGAGAATTTACATCAATTGGACTTCTTGCCCCGTCAGAGACTTTACGCTTGTAACGCGATGCTATAATTGCCAACTATATGGACATGCAGCAAAATCATGCAGGGAGATCAACTCATCGTGTGGCCATTGTGGAGAAGCAGGACATGTACAATCCTCGTGCACTAAAAAGTCGGAATCCCCTAAATGTGCTACATGCTCTCGTTACAATAAGCCGAATAACCATAAAACCGGAGACACTGACTGTCCGGCTAGGAAAATAGCTGAATATAGGTACATCAACTCTATCGATTATGAGGACGCGTAAAGTGTCATACTCTCGGATTACAGAGTTGATTAACCTTCCCTTGGACATTAGTTAACATCGTAACAAGTTGGCGTACTCAACAATTTGTTGCTGTTCAAGCGTATTTTATTGTAACACCAAGTGAATGACCGTTTGGACTGTAAACTAGATTATGTTTCTGTTGATGTATCAAATTCTTCAGTACTATAGTACCTCCAATGTTTTATATATATATGTATATCTATGTTTTGTATTTAAGCTAATATAATTACTTGTTTAATAAATGTACTTATACGATAATATTAATATTTAGTTGTATGTTGTTTAGTGTGTATGTATGTATGTATGTATGTATATTAAATAATCAACTTTACTTTACTTTGATCGATTAATTATGTTATGGAATTTGTTTATATAAATAACTTGTCCTAGAATTAGTAATGTTGTGAGTGCTCCTTTCGCCTGTGATACAGGATATTTTTCCTAGTACAGGCATTCAAACCTAGTGAGGTCTCTGATTTAAAATTAAGATTTTTATCTGTACTATGACCAATTTCTTATAATGAATAAAGATTTATTATTATTATTATTACAATAACCCCGCTGAACAGATTTTTATGCAATATTCATTAGAGAATATAGTGATTCGTGGAATAGGTTAAGATTTGTAAAAGTTAAAATATAGTTACCTCAGCCTTTCTCCTGAGGAAGGAGAAGTATAGAGAGATGCGTGAGTGCGTGAGTGCCAGCTCTGCCAAGACGGGCTCGGCACTGAGCGGCGAGCTGAGTCCCCGCGCCGGGTCCTGCGTCAGGCGCCGCGCCGCTACTAGCTCGCCCGTTATACGACGGATGCCTGAGCATACCTGCAGCAAACAACTTATATTGATAAATGTAATACAAACTTGGAAATAGTGATAGTTTCCCCATTAATCTCGAGAATGTCTGGTTGAATAATAATTTTATTACCCAGATTAATTTTGTAATACTTTCGAATATTAAAGTACTATTTGTAGTGAATAAAAGCCATGGCAGACTGACCACTGACCATAGAGTGAATTAAGAACAGTAAATATAATAAGTAGAGTATACATACAGCAGGCTGTATGGCAAGTAGCGCGCGATGCAGCAGGCCGGGCGCGGCGGCGGCGGCGGCGCGACGGGCGCGCTCGAGCGCGGCGCCGCCCGCCTCCACGACGCGCGTCACCGCGTCCGCGTACACGGCCGCCTCCGACCGCGCGTCCGACACTATGCACGCACGCCGGATCACGGCCTCCGCCTGCACAAGTCAAATAAACTTTCAATATGTATTTTGTAGCCTATTGGCTACAAAACATCACGCTACGATCAATAAGCACCGAGCAACGCGGGTCAAACCGCGCGGAAGCAGTTAGTCGAATATAAAACTGGATGAGCCTCAGCAACGACTATACTATGGTATGCATTTTCGATACTTTGCAGGGTGATTTAAACTATACTTTTGTAGGAGATTCTAGGTTACAATTTAGCATGAAAACTGACTGGATGGTCAGCAGAGATACTACACAAACAGTCAGAACAATAAAAAAATTCAATGTCATAAAAAAAGTTATTTTACAGAAAGGGTATATTATACTGACTTGTGTTGCCAAATACTTGGCGAGAAGATCTACTCCCTCCTCAGCTCGTCCAATTTGTGGGAACAGCTTGAACAATCTTTCTATACTTGGTTCATCTTCCTTGCGAGCTGCCTCTTCAAACCTATAAAAATTTTGGTTTACATACAATTTCTTTTATCTTTTACTCACAACTTGAGAAACAAAAATATTTTGTATGCTTACTTGCGTACTAAATGTTCTCGAAGTGTATTCGCAGCACGAGTCATAGCATCCCTTGGGTCTGGAGCACCACGAGCTCTTGCTGCAGCCACTGACCCTGGATCCATGCTGAGAAATCTAGAGACGTGGCCAGCACCTAGAAATGTTACATATTATATTTATTAGGCCAAATTCAATACTCTGTAGGAACTTGTTTTTAAAACATACCAGTTTCGTAATCATGTGCTTTAATAGCAGCCTCAACTCCTGCACTGCACAGCTGAAGATCTATCAAGTCGTGCACACGACGCTGGCATTCTGCTACGCGAGACTGAAAAACAAGAAGATAAAATATGCTCTCAATACATGTTCACAGTATTTCCTTATTACATTCTATGAAAGTATTCAGCAGCATATTTACTCGCGCAAGGTCCAGCTGTCGCACTTTAGCACTGACATCCCTGGCAAGACCGGCTGTCTTTTCCACCATGTCAGCGGCAATTTGAGAATCCGTCTTTACATCATTGAGCTTCGTATACGCTTGACTAGCAGCGCGGAGACGGCCTTCTAAGGAACATGCTCTGGATAACACTCCCGAGAGAGCCTCATCCACCTCCGCCTGTGAAAATATTATATTTACAAAATGCAACTTGTATTACTTGTGCCATCGTCACCAAAACAGTACAACTCACCTCTTCTTTCTCAATATCATTGAGGGCTTTCTGTAAGCCCTCATCTGTAGATACATCATATTTTTCTAATAAGAGACTGAGTGACATTTTCGAAAAGTTATATTATTTACATGCAGTTTATTTTGTTTAAAACTTTGCAACAATCGAAAACAATTCCGAAATCACAAAACTAAAAATCAACAGAGATAGACAATTGACAAATGTCAAAGTTACCGAAATTGTCACAGTGACATTGACAATCCAACAAAACAAAGTTGCCATTTAAACGAAGTGTCAGCTGTGCTGCTGTGCAGCTTATTTTGAGCCTGATAATTTTTTTATCAATGAAAAACTATTTAACACACTCGTAAATAATGGATACCTTGCTTTTAAATACATTTGCTTTAATTTTATACCGCAACTATTTTTATTACAAATACTTTGGAAAAAAACAAGAAAAAATGGCAATCACAAACTTGACAATACTGAGGAACAATCAAAACCTTGAATTGTGTTTATTTCGTGATAATTTTCGTAGGTTTATTGTTATTTTTTGACAAGTTGAATGTTGAGTCGTTTCATAAATGAAAGGTGTCTATTGAACTGTTGTTTTGTGAAATTATTTTGTATTGCTTTTGATACATATGAAAATGATTTAAGTAATAAAAGTTTCTGAGTGGAGACCAACAATAACCTTGTCAGTTATTTTGATCAGACCTTCAAAAAATTGACTAGTGGACAAAAGTACGATACCTATGCTGCAACATTAGTAAACATAAAAACTTGTGAAATCGTAAAATCGATGTGTTGTTAACTGTTCTGTATTCCTCAGGGCGTTTAAAAGTGTAACACTCCTTAGAGGACAGGTTTCTTTGTACGGTGAAATAGGAATCGTTAAAGGTGAGTGCTGAGTGAGACTGAGGGCATATATTGCATAAATTAGTTAGTATTGGCAAACAAGATTCGTTATTGTGGGAACGGATGGTTCGACGGTATCACGGGATGGTGTGTGTTGCAGATTGACTCCGTGTGGGGTTGGGCTTCGCCCCCGCTGCGGTTGCAGCTGGGTAACTCACGCGGACACAAGAGGTGAGTGAACTTTCATATCATTGACTAATAATTGGCACGAATATTTTTTCACATAGTTTGAATAGTTTTTAATTGATGACTGTGATAACATGCAACATGAAGTCATTGTTTCGCCTCTGGCTAGGTTTGTGTTGTAAATATGAGGCTGGCAACAGCTGACTGTTTATACAGCCTAATGCAGCCACTAACATTTAACATGTCTGTATCACCTGTAGTGTGAATGAGAAGCAAGTAGTATACCAATGAAATGTTTCATCAGTTTTGATTTCACAAGAGATACTTGTAATTTTGTGTTATAGATTGTGTGTTGGGCAAGAAAGCAAGGTAATGTCCTCTCCTTTGTATGATAACATGAGTAGATATTATCTGATAAAAAGTAACAACAGCACTGTTAATATAAATTATATGTATTTTAGAATTACCTAGTTGAAACTGACATTCTTCCTAGTTAACCCTTAACCAGTAAAGTATTTGTTTGCATAAAACATTAGATGACCTCCTATTGTGCCCTTAGTACAACTGTAGTGATATATTGTAAATTGGGTCAAACATTGAGTTTTAATTTATTTAAACAAATGTTGGGTGAACACCAACTGTGAAGACAATGAACTGCTACCAATGTTTACTGTTATTTCTTCATTAAATTCTGTTGGGTTTGGTGTGTGACAAAGTAATTGTGTGGATTGAAATGTTATGAATAAAATGAATGCACATCTCTGCATGTAGTATAACACACACAGGGTGATTGTATTGTGAGTTACACTTGTTGATAATTCCACATTATAAACAATTGAACATTCTCTCATTGAAATAACTCTTGTATTTATATGTTATTCCAATGCCTGCACTACTCAAAGAGCCATCCTGTTATAAATTTTTTTCTTCCCATACAATAGCAAATCAACTTGTTTTTAAAAATAATAATCAACAAAAATAATTTAATCTAGGTCAATCTGCACCGAGGTTTTAATATGAAATAGTTACTTTGGACATGAGGAAATAAATTTTATAATGACCTACAGAAAATAATGACCCTGTCCATGTAGTTGATACAGAAATCAACCCAGATATAGTTGATACTGTATACAATTAGAATGTTTTACGGCAGCCCCATTACATCAGCAGTGATGTGTGCTACTGACATTACACAAGGTGATTGTGTAAATATGTGAATTAACGGAATTACCAATTAGTTTCCTGGTTAGGAGAGAGTTGCTAAGGAACTATATAAATTAGCCTTGACTGTGTGCTTCATACCTGCTTGTTCTTCCGCATAATTATTTGTTAATTTAACAAAATGTGTGAGCATTACTATATACATTAAATTATGTAATTAAGTTATAACATTAAATTAGATGTTCTGTAATAAAATACTTAGAAGACCTTCATGTTATAAGATTACAGAACTATTTTGTTTTTATTTTAGTGTACAGGGTATAGTCTCAAGTATTTATTGTATTCAAGTGTGAGGCTAGAATTTACGTCACATGTTATGAATTACTGCATTCCAGGGCGATTTTAATCTGCAAAGGAAAATTTATTATTTGCATTTATTTCGAGTAGCCTTCTATACCCAACTGTTATTAAAAACTCCAGATCCAAAATCTGTCCCACTATCTCGTGTTGGTTAAGCGCAAATACGCGGCACCCAGGTTGCTCCGTGAGTTTTCGTGAAAAGTATTTCATGGTCCTTCATGGGACTTTTTTTATTTAAGGGGCGAAAATCATCGAATGTCTGCTCCCGCCTGGGTGAGGCGGAAGGGAGTGTCAGTCTCTTACTGACTAAAAACCACCCTGTTCCTTCTCCTGCACGTTGAGCCGGTGTCCCGGTTACCCGTTAGGTTCTCCGCGACTCCTTCATGGGACTAGGGATTAATAACGTCACATCTCATAGCTTATTTTCATTTACTCGTGTGACCAAAACCAACGCGCGATAGCCACTTCTCTTGCTATAGGAAAAACCGACAGTTTCTCTCCCTATGCAAAATATCAGCGTAGTAGTGAAATTTCCAACGAGTTTGACATACGCCAGACGCAGCGCAGCACATTGCATGCTATTCACATAAACAACTCGCCCCAAGGTGGTTGACATTTCAGCACCAGACTGACCTACTTACCTAACTTAAACTTAGGTAACTGCTCACCACGAAGTATTGATTTTACTATAAGTAAAATCCGTCTAAAGAGCGTATTCCTTCTTTTTATCATTTACAATGTTCTAAAAATAGGGTCAATTTGCAATAAATTTATACAACAGGTAACTGGCGACCCATATAACTTCATGGACATGAATAGTAGGCGAGATCGCGAGGCAGATGTAGGTCATGGAACGACGGTTCCACATTGTAACAACAGTCAAACGTACAGTTTATTTATAATGCTTTGATAATATTGTAGTTTCGCTAATGATCTAATTAGATAAAAGCTGATATTTTTAGTGATGTCCGCGGTAACTAACGTTAGCACGAATACGAGTCGAATGAGTAGCACTTAGATTAGGACACTTGTATTTATAATGTCTCATCATCAGGCCTCAATACACGTTCTTCCATTTTACGTCAAACTATTTTTTCCTGTTTAAAATATCTCTTGGCCTAAAAACAAATTTTATCTGTACCAAGAAGATGATTGTAATATTTTTAATCAACAACAATATTTTGAAACAGCACAGCTTATGCATCGTAGAGATAATGAAAAGTAAACAGTAGTTATATCGCCAGTTTATAGTACCAGTTACCAGTACCAGTAAGGACATGAAAAACCCATCGTTTCTTAATTATTATTTCCGCACGCACTTTCACTGTCGAAGAATTTTGAGTGCTTAGTCATATTAATATTTCTGATTGAGAGAATACAATATCATTCCAAGTGAATTAAGATGTGAAGGAACAATACTATTATAATATCTAGTTTAAGTTTAGAATTCGCAACAGTGCACGGATTATTTATTGTGGAAAATACCGCATACACTTCAAATTACTCGCATTCCAATATTTCTTACATGAATAGCAAATATTTCATTTTCCGTCGTCATGGATTTTTATCGAACAATCAGATTTCGATTTCACATTACAATGATGCACGCTTTCCTCAGAATATTGGATTGCCACTTCTGACGTGAATATTTGTAGAGCGACCAACCCTAACAGCTTCGATCGTCGACACACCAGTCATGTATGCCGTGTGTTTGTTCTGCTTCGTGAACATTCTTAAGTAATACAGTAAAGATGCAGTCTAGACTCATACAGCTATCTGGGCATTAGTCGCCAAACACGTATTTGCTTAACTCTACGAAACAGTAATAAAATTCGAAATGTAAATAATGTAATACAAGTATTTAGGCAGTAGATACGGACATTGTTGTTGGTTGCAGTATCAGACAAATACCTATTTAGTTAGGTATATTACAAGTCTAGATAGCGTTTATATATTCACCAAGACTGCTGTACATAACGTAGATAAATACGACTTGTCTGTAAAGAAACGCTGACGTGCAAATCTATGTTCTATTCCAGCATAACACAAGCTGAATCTCGCGGGCCGCATGCTGCCCTTTGGGCTTTCCGTCCGGCCCGACGCCATATTGTTTGAGGCCCGGAACATGAAGTAATTAATAAACTTACAAAATTACTTTAATTTAATGTTGCGATTAAGTGTATCAATGTTCAGTAGGGGCGGAGAGGCTTTGAGACTGCCAAAGATATCTTGGGAATAGGCCACTCCAAAGCTGTGTCAGAACACTGGTCTCCTGCCTGCAGCGTAGATCTAGTGGCTGAAAGATTGTGCTACATTATAATTTGTTCTTGCTGTGCAAATGTTAAGACAGGTGCTTTTTGTGTTCGCTTTTCCTACAAACTGTACGAAGTAAAGCGTAGTACAACGCTTGTGACGTGGATGTGGACTGTTCGCTTGCCGCTGCGGGGTCAGTGGAGGAGTGGGTGTAATGGGCGAGTGTGCGCAGGATGGGCGAGGGCGGGTCGCCGGGGGGCGCGGGCGGCGGCGGCGGGGCGCGGCTGTCGCACACGTCGGAGAAGCATCCGCGCGCCATCCTCGGCGAGCTGTCCGCGCTGCGCCGACACCGCGAGCTCTGCGACGTCGTGCTCAACGTCGCCAACAGAAAGCTCTTCGCACACCGGTAACTACCAACTTGTAGACAATGACAAACTTATCTGTATTTACAAACAAACAGTGTTATCATGAAGACATTGGAAAATATCTTATCTGTAAACCTTTTTACTTTTAATAAACAACCGCAGTTAGATTGTGGTGTCCTTCATAAAGTGTTGCATGCGTTACAGAGTGATCCTGTCAGCATGCAGCCCGTACTTCCGCGCGATGTTCACGGGCGAGCTGGCGGAGTCGCGCGCCACCGAGGTGACCATCCGGGACGTGGACGAGCAGGCCATGGAGCAGCTCGTCGAGTTCTGCTACACCGCACACATTGTAGTCGAAGAGAGCAACGTACAGGTAATAAATAGCATTTTTCTTTCTGTAATAGGCTACGACTCAACAGTTTTACACAATTATCAGTATTTTAAAACTGAACTGGGTAACCTGGGGGTCTTCAAGGTCCAAATGAATACGTTGCTTATGGGCAGACGTGCTCCATTGTAGGCCGCATCATCGCTTATCACCAGGCGAGATAGGGGCCAAACGTCGGCCCATAAAATTTAAAAAAAAACTAGGCGAGGCAAGCATTTCCTATATTACTACTAATATAAGAAACACAATCAGAGGTCAGTCTCTTTGCGGTACATACACCCACCACCTAAGAAATAGCTCGGTGCCCCTAAAGGCTAAATCTGCATATTACTGCACTGCTACGCAAACATACATAAATTAATTTTGTCCAGCGTTTCCTGAGTTTTGCGAAAATACACCTTGTGATTTATTTTTTAAAAAGATAGAATAATGAATTTTCAATGAACCACTATTACCATTAATGTTTTCTCCCCCAGGCGTTGCTCCCCGCGGCGTGCCTTCTCCAGCTCCAAGAGATCCAGGACGTGTGCTGCGAGTTCCTGAAGCGCCAGCTGGACTGCTCGAACTGTCTCGGCATCAGAGCCTTCGCCGACACACACTCTTGCCGGGAACTGCTACGGATCGCGGACAAATTCACACAACAAAACTTTCCTGAAGTCAGTATCATGTGTATTAGCTAATAATAATTATAAACTTATTTTATTGTCTTATTGGCGTAGTGGTCACTGGTCACAAGCGATTACCGAGCAGGAAGTCTTGGGATAGACAGATTGGAGTTGTGAAAAAGTCGTATTAAAATATCTCCCAGTGACTATCTGATGAAAAGTGAGTTTTGATTTTAATTATGTAGTTCATTTCTACTTTGTTTTTCAGAAAATAATGTTAATTGCATAACGATATGTGATACTTTTGCAAGTCCTCACTTTTGTGATTGCTTTGTTATTACTTGACCTTAAATTTTATGACGAAATCTTCTCCAGGTGATGGAAAGTGAAGAGTTCCTATTACTGCCGGCGGCGCAGCTGATCGACATCGTGTCCTCAGACGAGCTCAACGTGCGCTCGGAGGAACAAACCTTCCAAGCTGTGATGTCCTGGGTCAAATATAATGTGGCTGAGAGAAGACAACATTTAGCCCAGGTAACATACTAGTTGCAATCTCCAAAGTGAGGAGATTGTGGGCAAATCGCCGAGGACGACCATAATCCAGCGGACTATCACAGGCTACTGATGAAGTTCTATAACTATTTATATAACCTTTTATTTAACTTGCAATATACAGTCTGTTATGTTTGTTTGAGAAGTGGAATCGTGCAACTAAATTGTAAAACAGATATCGTCAGCTGTTTGAGTTGAAATAACGAAAGAAGTAATTTAGATTTGTACAATTTATTTATTTTCCTTAAGTACGTAATAGTGAATATATCACATTTCCTCCTTTTACCTCCAGGTCCTACAACATGTCCGCCTGCCTCTACTAAGTCCTAAGTTCCTCGTGGGGACAGTATCGTCAGAACTGTTGATTCGGTCAGACGATGCGTGTAGGGACTTGCTAGACGAAGCCAAGAACTATTTATTGCTGCCTCAGGAGCGACCACTCATGCAGGGACCTAGAACCCGACCTAGGAAACCTACGAGAAGAGGTTAGTGGTTCTGGTAATGTGTATAGCAAAGACAGTATTTTAGGTTATATTGGGGTAAATTTTTTATTAAAATGAAACCACAAGAAATGCTAAGTTCAAGATCCTTCATTTTTTATCTTTGTTAGGTTAAAAGGTTTAGGTTTCTTATCTCTTAAGAAATGAATCGGATTGATTGGAGCCGAGTGTGATCGATGGTCTGTCCGTCCGCAGGGGAAGTGCTGTTCGCGGTGGGCGGGTGGTGCTCGGGCGACGCCATCGCGTCGGTGGAGCGGTTCGACCCGCAGACGTCGGAGTGGAAGATGGTGGCGCCCATGTCCAAGCGGCGCTGCGGCGTGGGCGTGGCCGTGCTGCACGAGCTGCTGTACGCCGTGGGCGGCCACGACGGCCAGAGCTACCTCAACAGCATCGAGCGGTACGACCCGCAGACCAACCAGTGGTGCGGCAGCGTGGCGCCCACGTCGTCGTGCCGCACGTCCGTCGGCGTGGCCGTGCTGGACGGCGCGCTCTACGCCGTCGGCGGCCAGGACGGCGTGCAGTGCCTCAACCACGTCGAGCGGTACGACCCCAAGGAGAACCGCTGGACCAAGGTCAGCCCGTCCACTGATTATATTTTTCTTATGTTATTCCTCGGAATGAAATTGTTTTCCATGGCCGGTGGTAGTTGACACCCGAGGTGCATGCAGGTGGCGGCCATGACGACGCGGCGGCTGGGCGTGGCGGTGGCGGTGCTGGGCGGGCAGCTGTACGCGGTGGGCGGGTCGGACGGGCAGGCGCCGCTGAGCTCGGTGGAGCGCTACTGCCCGCGCAGCAACAAGTGGACGGCCGTGGCGCCCATGTCCACGCGCCGCAAGCACCTCGGCTGCGCGGTCTTCGACGGACAGATCTACGCCGTCGGCGGCCGCGACGACTGCACCGAGCTCTCCTCCGCAGAGAGGTAAGTTGCGCTACCCCCATATTCACACTGCCATTTCCTTCTTCTTCAATTGGAGTATAACCAATATCGCTTGACTAACTTTAAATGATATTTAACAGTTTATCCCCTAACATAAGATCAGTTTATGTCCCACAGCTTATGATTGTGGGCCCTCGTTATTGCTTAAAACTAGACAAGCATTCCCTAATAGTTCATATTACGTGAATAAGCCGTTATTATTATTTGTCTTTACCATTTTCCCTTCACAGCATCACACTTGATCCCTCCTTCCTTATGATTCCAAAGTCTTTTTTATCACAATACACTCAATTTCTAGCGTAAGTTCCACCAGCTACAACTTGGTGGAATTGACCTGTATTAAGTTTGTCTGGCCTGTCCCTCCGCAGGTACGAGCCTCACACAGACACGTGGTCCCCGGTGGTGGCGATGACGTCCCGGCGCAGCGGCGTGGGGCTGGCCGTCGTCAACGGACAGCTCTACGCCGTCGGGGGATTCGACGGCACCGCCTATCTCAAGTCTATTGAAGTACGTCACATCTCGAAATACCCAAACGCTGCTCAGTTTTAAGTCGCACTAAGAATAGTTCTGTCACTACAAATTATTTGTACAATGACAGATGTGGCACGATGTTTAAGTATACTTAAAAGTAAATAGGTTTTCAGTATTCGGACGTTACCTATATTCATTCATATTAAGTCTAAAGAAAAGTATAAGTATACAAAATACTATTCGTTTTAAAAGGACGGCAATGAACTTGTGACTCTTTGATGTTGCTGGTGTCCTTGGAAGGCGCTGATAATTTATCATCAGGTGGATCGTTTGCTTGTTCGGGTGAACAGGCTTAGTTAGTTAAGCTATAGTTTTCGTACTCAAGAATTGGCGCTGATGTAACCCGAGTCCTATAGAGAATTTCCTAGTGTCAAACCATTGGACAGCCAATTTTTGCCAGTTACAGTAATTGCCCAACTACAACCATACGTTAATCGTCATCTGGCAAACACAAATAATATGATTTGATTACTCTACAAGTAAATTGTTTGTATCTCAGGTATTTGACCCAGAATCGAATCAGTGGCGATTGTGTGGCGCGATGAACTACAGACGGCTCGGCGGCGGCGTCGGCGTCATGCGGGCGCCGCATCACGATAACCATTATATTTGGTAACTATACTCTATTCCCCAGTCCATACAATTCAAATATTATTTTCACCAAATTTTTCTATAGTCAGAATTTTAATTAGATTCCAGATTTGACAATAGCTTCTGTCATTTTGTGAAATAATGATACCACATATAATAGTGTAGTGATGCACACAAAAATCGATAAACAATCAGTGTGTGTGTTTTATAATAAATGTTACAGAAAGTGACAGGACAGCGATAGCGATGACGGCGACAATTTATAAAATAACTTATTGCCATAATACATCTATCTGTTTTATTTGTCATGTTCCTTCATGATTATATTTTTTTATTTATTTCACACACAATTATAAAAGAAACGTCTTAGATCGTTAATTAATCGTCAAAACTAAATTATCGGTTCAGAAATATTTAATTTCCTGATATACTTAGTTCACGAGAGTAAAATTATAATTATTATAAACGAGAAGAATCGATCCAGAAATATTTCATTTCCATATCGAATAATTTCGCAACGTCACTATTTAGTACTTGTCATAACGTTGCCACACTGAAATTGTCAAATCTGGAATCGAATTAAAATTCCGAGTATAGTTATTTTGTTGCTATTCTATAACCTTGATTTAGACTTTTTCAAATTACAAAGTTGGTAATTCATTTGCAATACTTTTCTTACACACTTTACCGTTAGAGGGGTGCTCGATCATTCTCAAGCCGCAACCAGAACTCTTAATTATGAATAGTATGTTAAAATCGATTGTCGAAATGTTTTACTGTAACTATAGATAGTTATAATGGTCTTTTGTAGAGAAGGTCCAGAAATGGACTCTCACTAGCCAGTGAGAGTCTATCATCAAATTATTCATCATATTATCATCGTCTACAGCCGTTGACGAGTATAATAATAGTGGTCTTTTGGCTAAAATACTTGTTGTTTTGTTTCCAGGAACAGAAAAGACTCAGTGGTGTGAGGTGGTCACACTTGCGCTGTAAGATATGCCCCTCCACCTTATCAGTTAAGTCGTTACTCATTTACTTTATTGTTAATACAAATATATTATAATTGACTATTTATAAATTAATGAAAATACAAATTTTAGAATATTCTCTTGTGTTTTATTCACTGTTATACAGCTTTATATAGCGTCTCTTATACTAATGGTGGGACACAAACAGATTGCAGCGCCACCTACGTGGTTAGACTATGAATCCAAGCCATAAAACAGTCAATTTACGAAATTGTTCAAATGACTTAAGTGGGTTCTGTTTCGTAAAGGTAGGCGGATATATCAACCATGTAGTGGGGACAACTTTAGGACTCATTCTAAAATATATATGCTGGTATATTTATTCATGTTTGCTTGAAGCTTATGAACATTATAACTTTAAATATATGTAACGCAGTATATTTAGTAGTATATTTCATCACCCAAATGGCTGCATTAGCTAACTAAAAATTATTTTTCATTAATTCTCTGTTATAACTACATCGACAATATTTTCCAAATAACCCTAGCAGCATAACAATTAATGTGGTGTAGGTGGTGGTGGGGATGTAGCCTTGTCCGCATGCTGATCCTCATTGTCCTCTTCGTCCCCTTCATCCCCATTCTCTTCTCCATCCCCATTCTCCTCGCCATCGTCACCATTCTCTGTATCCCCGTTCGCTTCGGCCTCTGCATTCTCTGTGCTCTGAGTTCGATCCTGTGATTCTTCTGCGTTATCTTCTTTGCTTGTGTGACGCTTCTGGAAGAGAGGAATGGACTTGTGATCTAGTATGTTGGGTATTCTGTAGGTATTGGTTTCTTGATACTATTTGGAAAAAAGAAATATTGCCAAACAAAATATGTAAGGGTGTGAAATGTGAACGTGAAGTGTTTGAAGGAGAAGGGAGTTTATACTAAAGCGACAACCATTTATTTGTTCAGTAGGTGGCGCTAGTGAATCTTGAAGTCAGAATTAAATGTAGTTTGACATCAGATAAACTTTTATACTGGACAAACAGGAACTCATAATTAGCGTCATCATGAATGAGCACCCTCATTTATGTGTTGTGTAGCCTGATTCGGCCGATTTTGTCACAATAAATACAACATAATAATGCTTAGATTTACCTTCTTCTTCTTCTTGCTCTTGGACTTGGGTTTCCTCTCAGGCTCGCTGTACCCTGGTGGGAAGAACCTGGAACACTCTTCCTGTCCCACCACTGCGTCAGCGCTGACGTGCAAAGGTCCTAGAGCCAGGAGTTCCTCTGGTGGACCTTCAGGGAATATATCTTCAGGCTCTGCCAACTCGGGTTCTGCTAGCCCCACTGCGATCATCAGGACTATGGTCTCGCAGCTGTGATTGTAAAAGATAATGTCGATGATTAACGGTAGTGTAATGTAAACATTGGTTTCATTACGTAAGTTGGTAATTCGAGTTTAACACGTTAAACGCCATGGGGGTCACCGGTGACCGACGTTAGCGGAGGATTTACCTTCAACAGTTTTCTATTGGCAGTCAAAGGCTTAATGAAGTGGTAATTTATTTACATTGTGAAAGAATTTCGAGTTTATAAGAATTGATTTCAGTTCTATTACGTGGGACTCTCTATTGGTGGTGGATTTACATTTAACTTATGCGTTCTTTGGTAGATTTTTCAGGGAATAATCGGTGTGGGGGTATAAAATGATAAAGATATATAAAGATATGAAAAAGAAGAATGATTGAGGGCGAAGTGTTCGTTGCTTGTCTAGAAGTATCTGATAATGTCACATACTAGTCTTTCTCCGGCCGGAGTTCATAAGAGTCTACATCCTTGGCGAGGAGTCGTGGCTCGTCCAGGTTGGCGTCAGCGTAGAACCCGTACCGCAGCAGTCTGCGCGATATATCGGAGGCCCCGCACATGGCCAGCACGGCGCGGCGCTGCCACGCTCCGAACATCAGCGCCACGTGCGGGGCCTCCGCGCGCCCCGCCGGCTCCACCACCGCACCTACCATCTGTGGGGTTATAGTTTATTAGATGGTATACCTACATTAGAAAAAGAAAGAAAAAAGTACATTTTAACTGACAAGGATAACCTTGAGTAAGTAAAAATTATCCCCATTTTATAACTGGTAACAAATATAAGACAACTTTTTCATTCGGCTTAGAGTTAGTGCAGACTCATCACCTTGTGGTTCGGCAGATCAGAACCGCCCAAGAACACTCATTACCTCAGAGAAGCTAGTTAAAATTGATATTTACTGATGAAAACGAAAAAAGTCTACCTTAGGGAACAAAACGTCTAGCACAGCAGCTCTCTCGTGTCTGTCTTTAGGCACGTACAGTCCGATGGTGTTGTCTGCGCGCAGCTCCGTGACTGGCAACTTCTTCCTGGCATCGTCGTCTTCTGCCAGACCATCACCACAAAGCGCTCGACGAGTTAATTCTGTGAACAAACCAAAACAGGAATATAAGGTAAGGTCAAATATAAAATAGGTAATGATCGAGCTCAGCAGTATGCTGTCGAAGAAGAGTGATTGTTATGACCATAAGAGGTTTCATTTCGAGGATCATTTTCTCCTTACCAATAATATCTCCTTCCTTATCTGGCATCTTCTTGAACAGCAAAGCCAGTGAAGGTCTCTCAATAATTGCGGCAGCTGCATTGGGTTCACCAAGCTCTGGTTCTTCTACTGCCAAGATCTTAGCGCCTTCCTTACCCACTACTATGGGGCACTTGTCCGCCAAAATTACACCTGAAATTACAAAAATATTATTGGAGAATTATTAACATAGGATGTTCTTCCGTGTTAGTTTATAGTGATAAGCACATTGTAGGTAATGTGCTAACTAACATCTAAAACCACTACGTACAGATATATACGTATACGTGTGTAAGTACATAAACATAAGTAACTAGGTCATACAAATATTTTTATGCTCAGTAATTGCAGGATATTTTTAGTTTTTGGTGAGTTGAATCGACAAAAAATCACAATATATCTAAATACCGAAAGGTTCAATAGTGTCGGTGATCTTCCGTAAGTGTTTCTGTGCGTGTGGCAGCATGAGAGCCGGGCACACGTCATTGAAGTGCATCTCCAGCCGCTTGGCGCGCGCCTCCCTCCGCGCGAACCTCGCTGCCTCCACAGCGGCGGCTTCCTTCGCTTTCTTCTCCTCTTCTATCTTCTGTTGGGCATTTGCTACCTCCTGGAATGAACAAGAGATGAATTAGTGTTTTCGCTTATTATACATCTTTCTACGCTTAATATAATAATAATATAATAATAATATAGCCCGCAGGGCACCTTGAGGCGAGGTGACGGGCATTAGCGATCCCGCGGGCTACCATCATCCCGAGTGCTCCAGGGAGAAGTCACCGTTCCTTCTTCTCCGGCTTGCCTTAATTGGCTGGCTGGAGTGAAAGATGACAAGGAACAGGTCTCCCACCTCTGGCTTGCCTTCATTGGCCGTCCAGAGTGGAGTCGCGAGAGCAGTGAACCTGCTCGGAGGGTAAGAAACTATTCGTAAGTCGCGAGTGGGCCAGGGATGCAGGAGGCTTCGGCTGGAGCAGATGATCTGAGTAGAAAGCGGTGGTAGTTTCTTAACCCTTCAGCCACTCACATTCTCGTTGCCCCTCTGTTGCTATATCTAGCAACCATTCCCGGGGCCCGGTCGGTGAGTTGGCGAGTCTCCGCCTGCCATTTTTACGTGTAAAAATTACATTGTTTCGGCAGGTGTCATAGTCATCCATAGTTCCCAATTTACCAGTCCACAGCAACCCATCCATAGCCCTACCTTTTTTTTCCATTATTCACAATAGTCCTACACTAACCGGGGACTGTCCTTGGGTGCATTTCCATAGTGCATACAGGGATAGTCGCCGGTTTGTGTGTCCATTACATTTATATTATAGTTGTCTAAAGGGCCTCTGCGCAGTTGGCTTCGGCCCCTCGCATGCCTCCCAAATGACCGGGACCCTGTGGTCCCGTGAATGGTAAAGACATACATAATAATAATATATCTTTATTTGCTAGAATGTAGGTACATAAGAATAAGATGGTACAATATGTTGTCACGGAACCTTATACATTCGGCCTTGTTGGCATGCAAATATATTTCTTACAATTAGGTTGAAAAAAAATAATAATAATTTATAATTTATGGTGTATCATTTAGGAAATCCTGCACAGAGTAATAACATTTATTATTACCTATATCTTTATTTCATTCTCCCTTTTCGGATTTCGTAATTACACCATTTTTCACATCATTCTTGGTACTCTTCCACATTTTCCATTTCAATAATCACTTATATCACGTTTTGTAACTTCGCTGTTATATTACAAAGTAGGTAGGTATACATATTACCGAGATCAATAGCATTGCTACGTTGTTGTAAATTATTATATTAATTAATCTTTACCTGTTCTGGAGTGGTGAGTTCATGCGGAGCTCTCTTCGGTCGCTTGAGTTCTCCCTTTTTAGCTAGTTCTTCATTCCGTAGCTCCTCTTCTATGGTGCGAGCGATACGAGGAGCATCCGCTCCAAAAACCACGTTTAGCAGTTGGCCGGACTGATTTGGAAAACAATAATTATAAAATCATCATTTAACTTCCACATTATTACAGATCTTATCTATCTCATTGTTATAGACATAATTTAAAGAACTACGAAATGGAATTTGATGCGGTTCTCATCAGTGGATAGATTGTAGCAGTTCTGGAGAAACTGCACGGGAATGCTCGTTTAGGTTTTCATTAAAAAGCTTAGAACGTTTTTAAACGAACGATTAGGTACCGTTTCTGAAACAATCGACACCCATACAGCTCGTGCATACAAGGCATTAATCACTATCAGAACGTTTTTAACTTCAAAAGTAAAACAAAGTTTTCCTTGAAAACTTTCGTTAATAGCCATAGATATGTATCTAGATGTATGTGTTTGTGTTTTTTTCAAGCGTTTGGTCGATACCCACACCCGTGCCAGCTTGCCTTGGTATAGCTGTCTCATACATATGAGGTGTAGCCCCTAGAATACTTATATGGAGAGCTACGTAAACACGTGTATCGTACTATGTCGTACAAGGCACACGTGTGACTTCGTATTCGTGCCTACAAGTCCCTCCAGATAACAAAAGAAAGTCGTGAGGTGTTTTTTTGTTGTTTGTTTTGAGTGGTTACTCACCGCTATGAACATCCAGGTCGGTTCGCTGCGTTTTCTGAACCTCTTCAAACATTCTATTGTGTCAGATTTAGCCTGGGGACAGCATCACAAGGTATACCAAATTGGTAACTAATTAGTTACGAAAATTACGAAGTATAAAATTGGAAACAGGTAAAAAGGCAGTAAATCTCTTACCACGGCTAAATGAAGGTTATCGCCCCCGAGTTCCACTTTGATTTTCTTCAGGTTGCCCACCATACCAATGCACGGTCCACACCACTCCGAGTAGACATCCACCACTGACCATAATATTATAGAAAGATGTAAAAATACTGACATCGTAGATAAGTAAGTTAGAGAGCGTAACACAAAGTTAGAGCCCCTGAAGTGTGTTCGTTTCTTGTCTAGAAATATAGGATAATGTCATATACTAATAATGTTGGGCTTATAATGATTTTCAAAAGTCCGTACAAACAAATCAGAAGACGATTAATAAAATTGGACTTCGAAGTTGATTCCATAAATAAATGTATTATTTAACTCAACTTACCCAACAGTCCATCTCTAGTCAGAAACTTGTTCCACTCTTCATCAGTGTTGAGCTCGGCCTGTAATTGAACCTGCGCGGCCTTCTTGCCTGCGCCGGCCGCGGCAGCCGCAGCAGCAGCGTTGGCGACCGCACTCGTCAGCGCCATGCACTCGAGTGGAACCACGAGCGAAGGTGCGAAGCGCTCCGAGCGATGTGAGAACAAGCCAAGACGGTGTGTAGAGGCGGCATTTGAAAGCGATCGAGCATGGTAGCGGTAGGTGGCAAATACGTGAGTGGTGGAACAGGCGTGGGAATTCAGCATATGACTAGAAATGTGGACTTCAGATTCGAAATGTGTTAGAATAAATCATTATTGTAGGAACTCAGTTTGGGTTTTGGCTAAGAGTTTGCAATGTGTAAGCGACGCCTATAACGTTGCAGACGTCTGAATGTAGGCTGCATGCTTGTTTAGCCTATTTACTCAGGTAATTGGAAAAAGAAAAGAGTACTAAGTAATAATTACTATTTAAAATAGACAAATCTACGCGAAACAATAAAATATTATTTTTCATATTAAAGTTAGATTTTCTCATTCTCAATATTGTGGCAGCAGATCGCAATTCCTCATAGCTGAATGTTCCTCGTATGTCTGGGGAAAAGTAGCAAAAACATTGTTTTATAGTCTATCAGTAGCTACTAGCGAGCAGTCGATACAACCGTAAACTCGGACGTTTATGTACATGTATCGATTTAGGTTATGTAGAAAAATATCAGTTGATGTACCTGAGTAGCTAAGACTACAGGGAAATGTTCTGAAGGTCACTATAGCGCCTGTCAAAGAAAGCAGCTCAAGCCGTTCAATATTTTTTAAACTGTCAAACACCAAGCGGTCACCGGTGACCGCGACCTATTGTTCTTTAATTGTGTCTATAAAACCGGTACTCGACGAGTTAATTAGGTAGGTACTTAATTGGGAGCTAAACTTCTTCCATTGGCAAAATGATGGCCCATCCTACCCAAACCCAACATACATTACTAAGTGTGCGAGGCATCCCAAAGACGTTTTCGTCAATCATTGCAGAACATAACATCACATTTAAGTGTGGGAGAGCCATGCTTCGACATGAATGGGCCGGCTCGACCGGAGTGATACCACGGCCTCACAAAAGACCGATGTGAAACAACGCTTGCGTTGTGTTTCATCGTGAGAGTGAGGTTACCGGAGGCCCAATTACCCCCCCCCCCTCCCTTCCTTTCCCCTATCCCTGAATCCCCTACAATCCTCAAATTCTTAATCCAGAAGGCTGGTAACGCATTTGTAATGCCTCTGATGTTCCAGGTGTCCATGGGCGACGCCGATTTTTTATCATCAGGTGATCTGTCTGCTCATTGACAGGCTTATCCCATAAAAAAACACCTGTGTTTCAGTTTATTGGGTTTGCAGTTGGCACATATCTACACGTCTCTAATGGAATTACAACTGATTAATAATTACTGATTAATCAGTTGTAATTCCAATTTTCCTTGAGTCGTCAAGCCTCAGATGATATCTTATTGTTCTAGACTCCCGTCAGGTGGAACGAACGTAAGCTTGCTTTGCTTGACATGAATGACACATGAGTGACGTAAGAGAGGGAAATGTTTCACAAGATTTCCGAATTCTATAAGCGTTAATTTTACTTAAATTAAATATAACTTCTATTACTTGGGTACTTAATTTGCTCATATTGGAGATTTAAGAGACTGGAGATCATTGGACGTTATATTGTATGACTTGCTTTTTATCCTCTTTGTTACGTAGGCACTTACCTACTAGCTACACTATACTACACCCACTCAAATTTAAGTGTGGAACATATCAGCCAACTCCCGAGTACTCCCGACCAATCCCAAGCCTCCATCGGCTGGCTGTAGTCTGTGGTATTGTACGCGCCACAGAAGTAGAGGCGCCAAATGTCTGGCGCCAGAGTGGCGGCGGGCGGGATAGTAGATTTTATCCGCAGTGGGAAATATGCAGTGGAAATTGTTCTTCAAATATAATATTTCGTGTGTGATCAGTATTTAAACCAAGGTATTTAGTGATTATTAAGAACAATAAGAAGTATTTGTGTGTTACTGGGAATTGAGCTCTCCCAGTGATCAGTAATGTGATGTATCTCGGGGCTGTGGAAGTGTACAATATGGTGTGAGATTTTCTCCTGTGTAAGTGTCCTCTAATGTGTGTGATTCTGTGAATAGTGTTCTTGAGTAGTGGTGAGTGAAGTTAATGAGAAGCTATTTCGAGTTTTGCTCTTGAAGTATGTCGAGTTGCCTGTATCCAGGTTGGCGATATAAGTATTAAGTAAGTTCCCACTCAAACATTAGGTTTTGGTTAGAATACAAGAGAGTTCTATGACCCACCAAACATAAAGGCTAGGCCCAACTAGGGTATTAAGGTACCCGAGCTCTTCATGGGGTGGAGGGTGGAGTAGTCTCTATTCCTCGACTTGTATACTGTACTATAGTTCTTCCAGCTGCAACTGATTGTGATGAAGGAGGAACGACTATTATAAATAGCTGTAGAGTAGATACTAGATACTATCTAAGTTACAGTACCTACAGTTGATAGTAAGTACCTACATACAACTCTTAAAGTCAGTATAATTATGAAATATCGTAAAGTATGGAATTAAACTGTCAAACACCAAGCGGTCACCGGTGACCGCGACCTATTGTTCTTTAATTGTGTCTATAAAACCGGTACTCGACGAGTTAAGTACGCAAATATAATAATGTATAAGTACCGTCAGCAAATGTAATGTAACAAAATAATATTTTGAACTGGTTTAGTTTAAAAGATTTTTCGATGTTATTAATGTTTCGATCATCAAAAATATATGAACAGAAAAATAATGTTGAAAAGTATATTTATTTATTTATTTTATTATTTTAAAACGTTGCCCCACACTAGGATTTTCTCCTGTCGTGGGTGCGTTTACAAACATAAAATATTAATAATAAATGTGTATAAAAAGTATACTGCTATTTACATTACATAATAATATTAATTTTGACTATTATTAGACCAAGTGCACTAAAAATCTAAATGTCAGAGCCATCTAGTAGCGAATAGAATAACTAAGCATATAAAAAACATGTAGCTATTCAATAACAGATGGCCCTGTCTTCCAAATCTTAGTAGTAACATAAATACAAGCTAGATGGCGCTTTCTGCAAACTTATTTTTCTACGTTTAATGTTTTCACATATTTTCAAAAATTTAAATATATTGTGTTGATAATAGATTCAACGAAATTAAGCATAATTATTATTGTTCAATGGAAAATCACCCTTTTGTGTCTAAGTCGCTAATCTTCCTAACTAACTATAAGAATATTCTGTCAATGGAAAAACAGGAGTTTAATCAATTACTCGGTAACTTAACTGTCAGTGGGTAATGGATTGCTCGGTGGTCGTAACCGTCGGGTTCGCAATCTGTCACCATCTAGTTAATGCATTAATGCAATCTTTTAACTGAAAGTTACCCCTCCCGAGTCTTAACAGCCGCGTACTTTACAGGAAATAAAGATATATAGGAGCGTTCTCTACGCACTCGTAAAATTCTAGCACTTCTCTTTATTTCAACTCGACTTGGAGTACATTCCCGATCTGTGATTTTTCTACAACAAATTGTGAGGAAAAATGTTTTTATCTGTTCGTTTTTCTCGTTTTCCCAGAAGTTTATGCCAATATCTTTATTCTTTCACACCTCATCTATTACAGCAGTCTTAAGCAGAAAACGTTCATTTTTTCAGTAACTCTGTGTGCTAGCCATGGATAAAATAATTTAATATTTCTATGGTGTTACTTTATTATAAGTTTGTGTCAGTAATTTTCACAAATAACTGACATCATTGTTTGTTATACCGAGTTATACGTGCGTAACTAACATACAAGTCGTAATCTCCAAACGACACTGTCTCTACGATAGCTTCACAAAAGCTCTGAAAGCGGATTAAATCAAAAATAGCTTTATGTCTAGAATAAAAAAAATATCACAGACTAATGATACAAATTGACAAAAGACTTGCTATTTTAAGACTAGTCGAGTTTAAGTAGAAATTTTATATTGAAGGCCGGCTTTAAGCAATATCTAAGAATACCAAAATTATAAGTAGATGAACATAGCTATCGATTATTTACATCGAAATAATAGGCAGGGGTTTAACAAAAATAAGTTGCGGCAAACAAAGTAAAATAAGTATAAAGCGGTGGAGAGGAGAAAGTTTTCCACGTATTCTATGAAAAATATATTTATTTAGGTACAAATACAAATTCGTAGAATGTCTATAAATACTAGGAGCGGTAGAGACAAATCGGGTTAAAGTTTAAGTTTGTCTATTTATCAACTAGGTAGGTACTAGATATGTTTTAGGCGTACACACGTATGTCTTTTCTGTTTATAAAATAATGGTCGTAATTAATCATATGTCTAGAAATGAATATAAAAACTATGTATTCCAAGTTTCCATGTAAAACCTGGGGCTTAAGGCCAAAAAGGTTGTGTTTCATTGTTAATATATATTATTATAGCTACATGAACTGTATGGTTACGTAAGAATTACAGACTTACAGTTTTAAAAATAAATTAGAACCTAATAAGTTTTTTTTACATGCCCCACACTAAGATTTTCTCCTGTGTTATGGGTGCGTTTACAAACATACAAGTTCACATACACAATGACTGGGTGTCATTTATGGACCCGGAACAACAAATTATGGATCACACAAAGAGTTGCTCCGTGCAGGAATCGAACCCGCGACACGTTGCATGGCAGCCAGTTGCCCAACCACCGCACTAATCGTGCTGTCGCTTTAACTGTTCTACTACTAACTGTCGCTAAAAAGTTACCAATGTGTTATGGTTGTAAGAATGCTTACAAATACATAATGAAAGCAACAGACACTAATTACTGATATAAACCCTATTATGCCATTCAGAGACATTGAACATTGAAAAAACATGAAACCTATTCATCATTCACCCATGAATCGAATCCCGGAAACCTTGTAACCTTATGACTGAAGCAATCATAATATATTCACATAGTAATATCGTAGCTCAATATATGATTTAAACCCTTTTTATGTAAGAGGGGGAAATAAAGTAAGACCTCAAGCAAGCGAAGCAGTAAAACTGAAATAGACTGAAGGCTGTTTGATCACTATCTCCTTACTGAAAGTACTGTAAAGCTAATTTAATCAGAAATCAAAGTTTAGTTCTACAAGTGAACTATGCAAGTATCGCATGACGAGGACTTCTGTCTACCGCGTCGTGAATAACGGCGTGATGTCACAACTGTAGGGGAATTAATTAAACTATGTTGCTTATTGCATTTGTAGTGAAATGCGATGAGCTTTAATCATGTATGTATGTATGTACCTAGGTGCTGCGTATGCTACAACTGTGTCAATTGAATTGAAATTATCTAGTAAATAATTTCAACTCACCAACATACGGCAGACGTCAAATTCTTGTGATTTATTCAGCGTGTCTTACTATGACCTAAAACTTCTAGATAGCTTCGGAACTCACATTCAAAGTCCTAACAAAACCGATCTACTAAAATGACTGCTTCATTCAGCTACAAAAACGAAACGAACATGACATAATATGTTTTTATAATAACTATCGTGAGACATACTAAATTAAGTAAAAACGCGGGTTACTCACGTGAATATACTGAGAAAAGCTCTACTAGTTTCAGTGAGCTGCGCGACGTCGCCGCGACCGCGCACGCTGCTCATGAGGAAGAACCCCTCTGTGGTTCGAAACTAGTAGAGCTTTTCTCAGTATATTCACATGACATAATATGATGCCGTAGCCATTAAAAATGAATGCAGAAAGAATCGTAGGTAATGTCAACTATTTGCGTTTGGTATCGCTCGTAAATCAGACGGGGTACGTTCTGTCAGGCTGTGGAGAAGTTGGTTAATTTTATGGAAGTCTTTGATTCATGGCGGCGGTGGCACGCGAGCCACCACGTGATCATGTTTGTTGTGGCTCTGGTTGTGGTTCACCATGCCATGCTTCAAGTGTTATGGTGTTACTGTGTTATCCACATGACTTATAGATGTCGGTAATGAAGTTGATTGTTGTTTTTATGGTAGATGAGTGTGGTAGTGTGTTAGTTGTGTGTTTTGTAAATATTGGGGCGAGATATCAATGGAAGTAAATAAAATTGTGTCTTACTTCAACCCTTACTTTTGTTTAGAGGTTTATTCTTCGTTTTAGGATATGAATTGCCCTAAATAAACATAGCTGTGTTGCAAAACTTAGTCATCTTGGTTACCAGCTTACATTCATAAGCACATAAAGCCGAATGACTTGGAAATAACCACACAAGACTATGTGGGAACGAACAAAAAATATTACAAAACTTATGTACATTGGTAAACCACGTCGTGTTTAGAATTAAATGAATTTTGACTTCCATTTGTTGAAACTCGATCCCCACATTATATTCCACGTATATCTAGTTACATTCTGACCTCATTCTGTGTGAACTTTCATCAACGTAATGGCCAAGAAATAAACCTTACTACAGTACGTAGTTGATGTCGTTTATCGACAAAAATAGATTAATTTAAACTGTAATTCAAGCTGGGGGCAACGTTGAATGAAAGCTGGATGTAGGACGAGGATCGTGACAAATTAAGACAGTTAATTTATAGACTGCTGTAAAAAACATTGATGGACGTGTTTGAAAGGGCC